TAATTATGTTTACATATAATAACATTACATTGTTCTCTTTACAATAATAAAAAAAATCGTACTAACATTTTCTTCCCTTGATGAATCATTTAGTATATTATCAGATGATGTTATTTCTATTTCATTTGAAGCTTCTTCTCTAAAATGCTCAAAATAACTATGATCATCAAGAACCTTAACATCTATATGTTCAGACTTTTTTGTTTCTAAGCTATTCAAACCTTCAGTTCTTTCTGTAGCTTTATGTTTCTCAAATTTTTGAAAACTTGTATCATTCGACAAAATTTTATGCAAATAATCCGTTTGTTTTCCTTTATTTTCTTTATTTAAAATCCTTCTAGGTTTCTTTGATTGATGTAAACGTGTACTTTTATTTTGCAAATTTGATTTTAAGTTTTTATATTTTATAGGTTTTGTGGTGAAAGTATAATCTATAAAGAAAAAACAATATAAATTAATTTTTAATAATGAATGTAACAGTTCTAATTGTCTAATATATATAAGTTTATTATACATACAGGCTTGTTCATTAGATTTTAAATATTCTAAATGTTCAGCCAAATGCGCTTTCATAGATTTCCGTGCTTTTCCTTCACTTGCAAAACTTTTATATTTTTGTTCGCATCCATCTACAAGCGTACAGGTATATGAAAATTGTCTTTTAAGCTCGTCACTAGTCAAGACAGAAAATTGTTTCACCAATTGGGACATTGGCATAGATAAAAGTTGAGGTACATTTAAACGCATTTCTTGAGCTTTACGTTTCACAACATCCGATTTAGTTTTACATTGGGAGGTTAATAATGATTTCATTTCCTTTTTCTCTGAATATAAAGTACGAGATGCAACTTCTGCCAGCATATCCAGCAAAGCAGCAGGACTACTTCTTCCCATGATACCTATAATAATTTAATATGAGATATATATTATATACATATTAATTCTTTAAATATACTTCATAAAAATATGTAGTAATATTATTAAAGAAAATTATTTATGATTATATTCACACATTATTTATAAGTGATGTCAATAAAACATATTCTTTTATCAATTCTCCATAATTGACAGGTATAATCAAAATAAGTTATTGATGCTTTCTTTGTTTCATTATAGCTTGTAATATAATGCAATAATAATAATATTAATAAAATTTTGTGTACATAAATAAACACGTAATTAGCGTCTCGAGTATGAAAAAATTTATATTTTAAATAAAAATAATTTCTTAATTTCTTATTTTCTAAACATCAATCTAGCAGACGTCGTAAGGACGCGCAGCAGACGGTTTTTTGCAATCATATCTTATTAACTCGTTAAGCCCAGTTAATTATATACTAAAATCGGTATTTATATTATTGTTATATTCTATAATTACAAATGCATATCTGTTCACCTGCATCATCGGAATTCGAAATATAATCATAGGATGTTTTGGTACCCATCATGTCGTTTATATTCGCGGTGAACACGCATTCTATTACATTCCACTATCTTCTGTGTACTACAGGTAACTTTGTTATTTGTCTTCTACTTTAGTACTCAGCGGCTTATAAAATACTAGATGAATGAAAAGAATTTCTCGTAAAACTCAACAATGATTGGACGAGACAGTCGACACGCTTGAATTCTTCAAGGATTCGTTGCAACGAAAACAGCCATCTTTAATAAGAAGATATGTTGTTACTTGACATTCAAATAGATTTAACGTATTATAAAAAGTACTTATATACAATATTGTAATGTTCATATTTGTTATTAAAATATCCAGAGATATTCTGTAAATTATTATATTATCATTTAATACATGGAAAGCCATTAGAAACAAAAATTACATGCACAATATGCATAGTTCTGTATATTTTATTTAGTTTTAAACACAATATTTTTTGTCTTATCTCTTTTAAATCTATCAAATGTTTTTGTTGTTAATTTAACTGTTTTACATATTAAAATTTCATATAAAAATTAGAATACTTATATATATATATATATGGCATATAATATATGGCATATGGTGATGACACTTTCGTAAAACTTTATTATTTTTTATAGGTAAAATTAGTTAGATTTCTGTGTTTTCTTTCATTTCAAAATTTAATGACATTCGCTTATATAAAAAGCAGAATTATTTCATACAACGGTGGGAGTTTTATTAAAATTATACAAATCGTGTTTAAGTTTATTGATTTATTAACTTTTAACTTTTTCAAATATTTATGTATACAAAAAGTAAACAAATCCATATTATTTTTACTTTATGAATGTAAGAAATGATATGTTAATTTCTACACATATATATAGGAATTTGATTGTTAAAAATATTAGCGATAACGATATTAGCGTCATCTATCAAAGAATAAGACATATTACGGTTTTATACGAATACAGTCTCTAAATATGTTGACCTTGTTGAAATCGAGGATAAAATGTGAAAGTTGATTCACGTCAAATATGTTTATACGCACATACTTGTTGCATATGTGATAAGCGTGAAGCAGAAGAGAAAGTTCATTTTTAATTAATCAGAATAAGCGAAGATGTCGAAGAATAAGTTTGCTTTAACTTTACTCAAAAACGATTATATTATTAAAAGTTTATGTCGCAATAAGTATACTGTTATGCTAACTATCAAAAAGAATATCCATTCTTCTGGAGAAAAAAATATTCGTTTAAATGAACCTTGTATGTTAGCTGCAAAACCAATAGTAAGTCAAAAACCAGATTGGAGTAAGGCTGTTTCTGAAGCTGAGAAAATAGTGGGCTATCCAACATCTTTTTTAAGTTTACGATGGTTACTCAGCGATGAAATTGCCAATGTGGCTTTACACTTGAGAAAATTAGTTGGATCTAATCATCCTTTGTTACAAATAGCCAAGTAAGTATAAACCATTTTCGTAATATATATATTGCTTTTTAACAATACTTATATATCTTTCTTATTTGTTTACAGAGATTTGATATACAATGGTCGTCATAATATGCAAGCTTGGGGTTTAATTGTATTATTAATATCTAAAGCTGCTGGTCATTTAAATGTTGATGATATGGAAGAAGATAAAGCTGCTGGAGTTTTACATAGGTACTTAATATTTTACTCAAAGAATGCTAATGAAATAATATTGCGTATATGTAAATAGTTTCATTTGAAAATTGCTTATAGTCAACGAGCATTAGCAGAAATTACTGAAATGATACGTACAAGTCACCTTATACATAAAGGTATTGTACATATCACACCTGATATATATCCAGAAACGTCTGAGTCTCATGACATGACATTCGGTAATAAAATTGCTTTATTAAGTGGTGATTACTTGCTCTGTAATAGTTGCGTTGAATTGGCAAGTCTCAGGAATCAAGAAGTAGGTATATGTGAATATCTTCTATATTAGTTAATTTTATAAAAACCTGTATTCTATTTTAGATAGTTGAATTAATGTCTATTGCTATAAAAGATGTGATTGAATCAGAATTCCTTGGACGACGAGATAAGCAAAACAATCCATTACCACGTATACCTCCATCTAATCGTAAAGGCTATGCCGTAAAAGAATGGACATTGAAAAATGTATTAAGTGCTGGTAGTTTACTTGGAAAATCTTGTCAAGGTACTTTAAAACTAGCTGGTCATAACGTTGAGATTCAAAACCAAGGCTACGAATTTGGAAAACACTTAGCATTAGCTTGGCAAGTAAGTTTCTAAGTTGAATGTATATTATATATACTGTATGCTTAATTATTATATAATTAAATATAGTTTAACATATTAATTAATCACAAATAATTATGTTGATTATTTGTTTCTAGGCATGTTTGGATCTAGGAATTTTTACTGGCAAAGAATCAGCTTCATCTTTCAATTTATGTTCTGCGCCTGTTATGTTTCACATAGAACATGATCCATCTATTTTAACAGAAATAGATAAAGGTTTGGAATCAGTAGATAATGTAGATTATGTAAAGGTGAGCAGTTGTCAATTATTAATCTTATTATGATGATTTTTTATTATAAAAACATTTTTTACTTTCTCATTTTTATTAATCTAAGCGAGCGTTATTACTATATTTAGATATACAGCATTGTAAGTCAAGGTCCTGGGATTGAACTTACGAAACAGTTACAAAAGAAACATTCTCAAAAAGCGACAGAAGTTCTTGACGTATTTCAAGAAAGTGATGCTAGGAAAGCATTATATAATATCGTAGCAGCAATAGGAGATTTTTAAGTAAAAATTAAAAGTTAATGAACTGATATGTGTGTAACTTTGATAAGATTGCCCAAAATCAGTTCACAAACTCCGTCCAATTTTCAATTTTAAAAATTAATGTTTAAAACTAAACAATATATACTTACATGGGGCTATAAATGAATTATTTGTATATATAGTATATATCACGAGTACATTATATTTATATATATTTGTGAATGCTATCACATAAAACTTATATGTATATTTTTAAAAGGATCGAGTTATTTTATTATTCATATTCCTTCTAAATCTATATATAATGCAAATTTAAAAAATAAGTTTCTATTGTTTCGTTAATTACATACCTTAACTTGTTCTTATCAAGATATTATTTGGCAAATCATTTTAACCGTTACATTATATACAGAGATTTCCCGTCATTGATTGTTGGTTGACTATTTAGAAAATAAACTTTACATACCTTATTTAATTATATTGCATACATATTCTCATATGATTTACATATGCAGTATGAAAGAAAGATGAGCCCTTAATCCATAAAATGAGTCTTTCCTTATAATTCAGTATATATGACCCATTATGCAAGTAAAAGTAATTCTGACTAACGTGATATCCGCACTTATAATTATTACGACAGGAAAAATAAACTATAGAAATTTATAACGGTTATCGTTTGAAATTGGTACATAAAATGTCAAATGAATGAATGTCTAGGAATGATATATGCAAGGATTATAAATTAATTGTATAAATGAATACCTGGGTATTATCATATATTAGATTGTGTTGAGTTTAAATCGGTTTATTCATAAAAATACGAATTTCACTTTGAATCTTGTCGCCTACATCACATAACAATTTCTTGTGTAATTGTATACAGTATATAATCATATCATGTGAAATCAACTTAATCAACGTGAAAATAAAACGAAAAAAAAAAGAACACTAATATAGATTTTCAAAGAGTCTATCGAATACGTAATTATTCTTATAAAATCATGCTTGCAATCATTATTGTATAAATGATATAATATGCAGATTTAAAAATGATCGACGGTACAAAAATACAACTCATAATAACAGATCAACATACCCTGTGAACAAGATGTAATGAATGTATTTAGTTCACAATTTGAAAAGAAACCTTTTATGGTTAATAATAGTAAAAGAATCGTCGTAACGGAAACTATCAAAAAGCATTTGTATAATAATTGTAATAATAATATAAATGAAAAATGACATTCGATACGTATTTAATCGTTAATTAACCAGGCATAAGAATATATGTTTATGTACTACACTTTTTACTCGTTTGTTCATATTCACACTCTTAAATATCTACTTGCAGCGGCAATAGTAGTAAGTTTTGATTATAATCATAAACCCACAAAAATGAGCGCAATATGTCGTGCGTTTCTCTTGGGTTTGTATGCGGTAACTATTGATAAAAAATACCTTATTCGAAAAACTAATAAGGCAGTATGGTAATATGGCTAAATTTGTCTTAAATTAGGCTTCTCTTATTTCCATTCTTTTTTAAAACACTCCACACTGAATATAACAACATACATTTTATTCACTGCACGATATGCGAATTCTTTAAATTTTTAGTTGATTTCATGAGAAATACGCGTGAAGTCGTAATTAGGAACGTACCGCACAAAATAACAAGAGAACATTTATCGCATTAGACGGATCATAGTATATCATAATGAATAAGAAAAAAGAACAATTTATCGATATCATTGAAAAGTATGCTTCTTTTTTTGATAGACAGTTTCAAAGATGCATACAGAATTATATGAAATTTCATCTGTAAAAAAAAAGAATTGTTCGCAATACATCATTCAAAGAAATATCGGTATTATTCATAAATAAATAAAAATACAAAAATAAGAATGTAAAATAGATTAAAAGGAACCCCGAGATACTAGTGAATTTTCTCTTCTGTTTCAATTTTGTTCACTTTCTTCTCACGACAATCATTATTGTTTTAATTCGAATGATATATATTTAAAATATGTAGGAAAATCAATAGAAAAATACTGCTACTGCCAAACTCACTTATTATGCTAATGTCAGGACGAGACCAGGAATATAATCCTTAACGTAGCATACTTTTTGTTTCGAGAGTTTGATTCGTTAAAGAAGAAAAATAACTAAAAAATAAAGCACTACGAATAATGTAAGCAACTGAGTCAGGTTCGTTTATCCAAATGCAGTTCTAACAAGTGGCGGTCTTACTACAATCGGCCTCCAGCATGGCAGACTCAAATTGTTCCAAAACGCGCATACTTTCTAGAGAAACGGTGCTAATGCCTAGATCTTCATCGAGTTCTTTCATGGAGGATCGTCCTTCCTCAGTGATCGAAGTTTTATTCGAAACGTCACTGTCAGGAGTGCTGGACGACGATCGGCCACCGTGTAAGTCTTGTCTCTCGACGTCAGCCTTATCATCAGGAACTGATACCTCGTCATCGGGTTTAATGGGATTAACTTGTGCGGTTTGGGACTGTGAAAATGACGTCTCAGAGAAATCTTTCTTCAAAGACAAGATCTGATCATTTTCTTTTATGTTCGATATTGCTTCTTTAGATGTAACGTTCCCATCATCAGCATTACCTTTCGTTGTCATCCTCGAACATGATTTTTCGTTCACGAGTTCAGCATATTCGAGAGTCTTAGATCGGGAATCGTCTTCGGCCCTTGGTCCCACTACTCGTTCTTCTTCTTCTTCTTCTTCTTCTTGTTCGCGAGGAAATTCGTTATTGGAACTTTTGCAAAAATTCTTTTGGTCATCTTTATCCTGTAGATGAAATCGATCGAGCTCTTCGTCGATCTCGATGTTTGTCGTGCTCTTGCACGCTAGCTTTGCTCTAGGTGGCGCTGATATATGCGCTTCTTCCAATTTCACGTGTTCGAAGAACTTTGAGATGGTTCCGCGCTGGTGTTCGTTTGGGTGCTCGATTGATTCGAAACGGTCAGTTTTGCGATACGATTGTTGGTACACGTCTGTGCGGTCTTTGTCGTTTGTATTACAGGTGGTTCGCGAGAGGACAATGGTGGTATCGTCGACGATGACACTGGAGGAGGGGTCGTAGCTTGGGAAGAAAGAGTTGAACAACCCACCTCCTGGTCGTATTCGATTCTTTGACCAATTACCGAGAAATGTCTCTTTTGCGTTGGCACTGTTTGACAGTGGTAACTGTTCGGTTGATATTGCGCCACTGTCGTATGCGGGTAAGAGTAACCTCTTGTTTCTTGTTGTTGATCGTAGATGATTGATACCGAGTTTGATTCTCGATTGTCTGCTGGTTCTGGGCTTCTTGCCGTTGCAGACCGATCGTTCCATCGGATGGTCGCCGGTAGTAATGGAGAATTCTTCGGAATCGATGATGCGATTGAGCCCTGGTACTGCCCGATTTGTTTTTTTACTACGACCTCGGTTGATCGGCTCGGAGAGATGCTTTTCAAGGTAGACGGAAGGGTAGGTGAAGGTGACCTCGGAGTGAACGTGTGATTCGTACTGAGACGTGGTTGGCTGTTGGGAGTCGAAGAACGTTGAAATACTCTGCCCTTCTGGTTGTGTTCCAATGGTGGCAAGTTGCTGCTGCTGCTGGCCGGACCTTCCGATTGGTTCTTTGATCTTCTTAAGGATGAGGTATGACTGATGCTTTTCTGGTTGGACATTGTTACTGATTGGCAACTGGTAGGTATATGGCAACTGGGACTCTGATTGCACGTAGCTGATGTTTGACTGTGGCAAATGGTTGAGGACGATCGAAGAATAGGATCGGCCAGTACCGTTACCGTTGCAGTTATTGTTCTCTGATTGCTCGATGTCGGTTCTTGATGCGATTGTTGTACTGATTGTCGAGTACTCGTGGTTTGCGGCGGTGGCGGCGACATTACTCGGGGCGATTGGGATGAGAAAGGTCGAGGATGGTAGCTGTCCGATTCCGAGCGCGGAGGCGAGCACGTGTCTTTTCGAAGTTGCATCAGCTTTATAAAGTCCACAAGACGTTTTATGGATTTCTGTGTCCGCTCCTGCTTTCCTAATAGTTCCTGACGCGTACGATGTTGTAGCTGAAGGATAAAGAGAAAACAAATAATTATCATTGAATACGATTATTTTTCTATCTTTATTTCTTTGCTTAGAAGATATAATAGGAAAATAAGGTAACCTACTTTTTTATAAAAACGTTTATATAAATGACACGCATGCTTTGGTGCATAGCTCGAGTAATGATCAAAACAAAATTTGTACTCACTTTGTGACGTATAGATTAATAATTGCTTTAACAACAATTGACGGACGTTAACACGTTTACAAACTCGCTATTTAATTCGCGATATTTTAATAGTAACATCGTGTACATAAATTTGCTTATTATGCATGTTATGAAATTTTTTTTTTTCTTTCTTTTTTATTTATTCAAATAAATACTTGTCTAAGTAAGCAAACAATCTTCATTCTCTATGAAAGCTTACGGATTGAATAAAATCATGAAAATAAAATAATCTGAAGACTGCAAAATAAACAACTACGAAACGGTAACGTCGAACTTAATCAATCGAAAATATTGAACTATCTGATCGATTAGCAACGTTTAGTTAAAAACTACCTTGTTCAAAATTGATTGGACAAAAATATCGATGAATATATCAAATTCACGTATACTAACATGCTATAACATAAAGATATAAATCTCCAACTGTACGAAATAAATGATAATATAAAATGCGAAAGAAAGGGGAACTAAGAAAAACAAACGTGAATTACTTAGCGGATTTTTCGTTGTTAACGAGGAAAAAATAAAATGAACGAAAGAGCCAACAACGAGATAAACATCCGAACGAACGGTTCGAACAAACTTAAGGGCATTCCAAACGAAAGTATAAGTCGATTAAACTGCTTTTTGTTTGGTTCTATGCAGGCCACTAAACGAACCTCAAGTGACTGGCCAAGTAGTTGCGAGCGTTTTTCCAACTCGTAAACCTGCAATCTTAGATCCGAGTTTCGCTCGCGCAGCTCATATCTTTCTCTCTCTTTCTCCTCTGCAAGATATTTCGCGTTCAATATACTTGTTTTGGGTGCCCTATTGACGACGATCGACCAAAAAGTTCTTCTTAATTGCAAATTCTGCTTGCCGTATTCTCAAGGAGCCGATCCTCGACTCACGCTGACGCTTCTTGCGACAGGCTGCCATCTCGCGCTTATTCATTCACTGCGTGCACTTATGTTCATTAGAGTCTGCGGCAACGCTGCGATACCTCGTCGAACGTTAAATCTAAAAGTGGTGGAGCCATGTTACACAAATTCTCCCACCGCTTTCGAGCGACGTATAATGCATCTCGCGCTAAGCACAAATGTTTATATGTCACTCTAACTTTTGAATTCCTGCATTTAGTTTTTAACTTGCGTCTCCCATTATTTATTTCCAGTTTCATTTTGTCTATCCGAGGAAAAAGATACGCGCGTTAATTATACGTTCGCGTATAACTAGTTTGAAAATCATTGCATCGTAAAATTATGGAAATGGTCAAACAGAAGCTATTGATTCTTCCATATATATATATGTATATTTTTTTTTACATATATATATATATGTGTGTATATATTTCTTTTTGTCTCTTTCTCTTTTTTGAGGAGGAGGAAAGACGATAATGTCACGAGGCGAGAAAAGCGTATCGCGAACGTTCGCAGAAGCTAGTCTGCAGAAAACAAGAACTTTTTTGTCAATCACACGCACGACATTAGAGAGGAAGAAATCATCAATGGCATCGAGGACGATTTACCGAGCTCTTCCTCCTTATTGCAGGATTCCCTTCCATTAAATTCCTCCCCTTCATCTTCCTCTTCGGCTTCCTGGACCACTGCGTCTTCCTCCTCCTCCTCTTCTTCGTCATCCTCAACGAACGCACACTTCGGACAAATTCTTGGGGGTGCTGGTGAGACGGAATGACAGGATACATGATAGTTGGCCGAACAATTCTCGCAAACCGTTAAAGTACCTGCAAATGATCACCAGTTTAATCCTAGCATTAATAAAATTAATACAGTACGAGATATTTAAAAGAGAACATCATGAAAGAATAATCTTCAAAGAAATTTGACATTTCTTATAGTTTCTTAATCTCTTGCAGTGGAAAGAGTTAATAATTATATAGTCTATGAAATAAACAAATCTTTGACTAATTTATAATATGTATGTAGAACTTTTTTTTATAACATGCGACACTGACCTGGATTTCTACACCTTATACAAACAATCGAATCATTTTCGATCCTCTCTATCGTTAAACACGAAGGTAATCCTGGTATATGAACAGTTCTACTACCAGCTGATTGGATCGTTTTCGTAGCAACGATCGGTAATGACACGGAATTCGAACCATTTTCAATCTTGCCCTTTCCTGGATAGACTTTATTTTCCGATGCGTTCCTAAGAATGTTTGGTCTTGTCATTGACTTTTGCAAGGGTATGAGAGATTTTCCTATCGTTGTTTTCGAAGGCAGCGAAGTAGATTTCGGTAAGGCTGTCTTACTAACTGGAGGTGGTGATGGTCCGTTCATGCGAGCTGTCGTTTGTCGTGTCTGTGGTGCGCTTCCACCAGATTGTAAATACGTACATCTCTTCCTTTTCTATAAACAACGTAAAAATGCAACAACAATTGTTAACGCGCGAGTTCAATTAGGAAGCAACTTAATCTTTGATAAACTCTTTTAAAAAATAGGCCGTTTCGCGATAAGCTAACAAAATTTATCAAATTTGTTGACTTTAGCAGAATTTCTATCGTGGCAAGAAAATGAATTTTCTTATAGGAAATAATAGTAATACCATCGGAGTTTCAAAATTGGAATACACAAACTGCGGATTAGCTGTACTACGTCGTTTCCTTTCTACCCTTTTGTTCTGTAATTCGGAACATCTCGCATTGGTGATCAGATTTAAATTTGATAAAAACGTTATCTTTTCGTTAACATCGCTTTTTAAATCCTTCTCATCAAGCGTCTCCTCTTGCGTCTCGTTTGAATTTTCATCCATGGAGACTTCAATAACGTCATCCTCGCCTCCTGATATCGTCTCCACCGAGCTCGATCGATCTCTGAGAAAATACCTCGTAAGTATATGCATGCATTCATAAATTGTGTAAAAGGTCAAAAATGAAGGTATCATCAATTTTGACTAACTTGGAAGTTGAGTTCTCTTGCGAGGGGGAAGGTACGTCGCTGTTGCGCACCGTGTCCTCGTAATCATCTTTCGATATTTTAACATCGAAATTGTTGGCGTCGTTTCCCACCACCTTGCTACTTTTCTTATCATTATTATTCGTGATATGATTATTGTTATTATTCAAGCCAAGCAACGATGCTAGGGAAACTTTTGGCCCATTCGCATTTTGTGCATTGAATGCCTCGACATCTTTGCGCAATCGCTCTAGGACTTGCTTCTGTAAACGAAAAAGAACACCGCAAACTGTTATATAAAAGACAAATTAGTTTTTTATTCAAACGATCACCGTAGATTATAACAAATCATCGGAGGTCCTTGTAAAAAAAATAAACCGAAGAAAAATAGATTGCAACAATAAAATGGGATACAAACTTTACGCGTTATTTCTAGAAAAGTCTTTCAATTTCACTTGATGGGAAGAGAAAAAAATGCATGCGCTTTAGTCTGCTGAAAAAAGAAGAAAAAAGAAGAAAAAGGGATGAAAAGAGATAGAAAAGAAAAATCGTAAAACGATATTGCGCGAGATATTTTATCGATTGGGAGGCTCCTCTCTCTTTTCTCATCCTCCGACTCGGTTTCTCCCCTACTTATAGTTGCTTGCTTTCTTTCTGTCGTAGTCGTATTCGTTTCAGTTTCCCATTCCACCCCATTCCATCCCCATCCGTGTTGCTAGTACTCATTTCGTCCGTAGTTCATCACCGCGAAAAAAAAAAGACAAAATTGATTCAAGTTTGCGTTGTTCCATACGCACACCCCGCGCGACAAACAACTACCTAAATATTATACCTCGATATTTTGAGTATAATTGAAAATAATTAACGATATCTTTTCTCGCTCGTGACACGAATTAAAATTAACTTGTAAATGGGTCAAGTGTAACTCTTTACATTCTTTTATTTTGTTTTCGGTCGACCATGTTTAATTGCCAAAACATTTTCTTCCCTTTCGAATGATCGATAAGTTGTAACATTTAGTCATTATTTCAATTGCTTTGTTTTGAAACGTTTTTCGAGAAAAGGAAAGAAATAATTGATTGAAATGTTCCCAACTTACTTGACTTTTATCCAGGGAGATGATGTGCCAATGGATGTCCTGTATTCGTCCGCGAATAATAGTATTCTACAAAAGAAATACCTCCTATTAATACTTTTCCGTGATTTCTGATAAAGTCAAGAGATCGAAAAATAACCATTTATTTTATTTGTATTGAACGAATGTTCATCAAAGTTTGAAGAAAATATTTAAAAGATACAAAAAAAAACTACTTACGTTTGGATCATCTTTCAATTTGCCAAAGTATATCTGGAATTTATAAGAAAAAAAGGCATGTCAATAAAAATTCCATAAAGAATTCAATATAGATACAAAATTCAACACATTATTACGAATTCCTATCCGTTTTTTTAATGATTGCTTCGAAATAAATATTAAAAAACGTACATACATATAGTGTCGAGTAAAAGTATTCCCACAGACTACATTTTTTTATAACATTCCATGTAAATCGTTCGATAAATAATATATATGTTTCGCGTAGATCAAATAATAATCGTAAAATGAATGAAATGAATTCTTTGTCATATTTAATGGCATATAATGGAATATATTTAAAATCTTTATAACTTACGATATACTTAAACCTTTTAAGTATTAAATAAAGAATCGTTTTGATATATCGGTAATAAATTGTCACACACACAAATGCTATAGAAAAATGTAGTCTGTGCCAAGAGTTTAGAAAGTAGAACTTAATTATTTTCACGATTTTCGAAAGTGAAAAATATTAATCTCTACGAGGGAGCTCTCAATTTCTTGGTTGTTTGCAACAATCATTCGCCATTTTTTTCTGAAACTTTTATGACGCACGTATATAAGTATATACGTTTAGCGACACAAGTCTTCCTTTCTCACCCTCATCGTGTTTCATTCTCGAGTTACTGGTGGTAGTAAACGTGTAGGAAAAAGTCCGAAAGACTATAACAATACATACTTCTCGTTTCTCCATCCGCATTTAGACGCGTCTAACCTATTTTTCTCAGCACTTTGAGCAGGGTTTAACGTAGGTCCTTCATAATTCACGACGATAACCGTAGATAGAAGAATATAATTTTACGTACTCTCGCTGTAATTAACACTACCATTAAAAAAGCGATGTAGTTTATTAATATTCGTAATACTGATTATCTAAACGATCTATAATTCACTTCGTGTATTTATAAAAAACACGATTAGTTGCAAACACATATATACTTCTTTTATACACGAAATTAATCATATTCTAAAAGTTAATACGATCTATTATCGGTACTCTATAATATAACATTACGCAAATATATAAATATTCATATATAATTTTCATTGCGGAACAATAATTATGGGTAACGATTGACTTTTGTTTATATAATTTCAACTAATCATGGATCGACATACTTAAAAATCGAATATGAATTTATTATCGGCTAATGAAATATTAAGCGTAAACTATAAATTCTTCAAATACGCGATGATCGCTTCCGTCCAATTTTCTGACCGATTATTGTAAGTTATCTTTTCAATTTCTTGAAAACATTCAAGAGTCTTTTCTCTTAAATAACAGAATAGTATCGATGGTAGCGATATCGAATAAACGAGAATATTTGTAGTAGATATATACAGAGGGAAAAGAATAAAGAAAGAGTTTTATTTAACTTGAAATGTGTTTTCCTTTAATTCACAAAAAAAAGGAAAGATGCTTCGAGCGAATTGCATGCATCTAACGCGGCGAATGTAAACGACATACTTTTAATCGTGAAAAACTAAAGAAATTCTTTCATTTTTACAGTTAATATATTATACAATTTCATAATCAAGAATCAACAAAGAAACACACTTTAAGGGATAAATTAATATTTATTAATAATGACGAAATAAGTCCATTAAATATTCATAAGTTAATTCTGTTCGTAAAGATCGATCGATATGTAAGAGAGAGGTTCGAAAAAACTGGATAAATGCGCATCGTATTTAACTACTTTCCCGTTTCTTCTTTAGACATTAAAAGTTTGAATTATTGTATAAAGATAATAACGCGAGCAATTCTATCCGTTAGGAGCACGAAACAACTGAGAAATACGAGCGATTGTCTTCTCAAGTATGCGCAGGGACGAAAGAGCTTGGCTCGTCTCGACTATCTATATATGTATAATGTGTAAATGACAAGCGGACGAGAATACGCGTTTCAATTAGTCCTCTTATTCTATTTTACATTCCTGCAAATTCGAACGGTTTTATATACGTATAAAGAATCGATCCTTCGAGGCCATTTTAATTCGTTGACTTAAGACGTTTCGCGATACGACTGCTTCAACGGAAGGAAGAATTGGAGGAACTGGGAGAACGAAATGAATGCGTAAGAAAGTGACGAAGAGACAGAAAGTTCTTTCTTCGTCCGTATTTACTAAGAAGAAGGTTGTTACAGTCGTTACCGGTGAAAAAGCAAGGACGATTGTTTCTATGATATTACATTCCTTGTCATTGAAAGACATCGAACGAATATTCTCCTTCGAAACTCGATCCGACGTGATATATACATATATATATATATATGCACGCGTATGAATCGTTGATTCGTCTATTATGACGAGAAAACGAATGCGGAACTTTCGATCGAAGAATCTCTTAAACGGCGTGATTTGCAAGAGCAGAGCAACAGCATTTCTTGTAACCCCCGCTTGACGGCACGCACGCTTGCTTTACTTTACTGCGCATGCGCTCCTACTATCCGAAATCTTCGTTCGAAATTTCGAACATAACTGTACGTCGCCGATCGAGTCCTTTTTCCTTAATCTTTTATTGCTCAGGGGTATATATTTCAACGCGACATTTAAATATTTATGCAAAATTTGCTACGGGGACATAGATATGAAACAATTGGAAGAAGGGAGAAAAGAGGGAAAAAGAGGAAGAGGGAAGAGTAAAGACGCGCGCGAACGGAAAGACGCGAGCGAGGAGGAAACGAAAAGAGAGAAGAAGGAGGGAGCAGATATGGTATGTGTGTGAGAGCGAGCGTGAGCGCGAAACAGAAAGAAAAGAGGCACTAGGCTATACACTAGTGTTGCTACATTAATATGACTTTTAATAAATGCACGCATTTGCTAGTTCGTCCGCTTGCTCGTCCGCTCGCTCGTCCACTCGTTTTCTTCACGACCCAGGCAAAATTTAAATCGACAAGATTTAATGTTGTTCAAATATACTTTGTTTTGAAATTCTCTTTCTATCGCGTACGCGTTTCGAGTCTTCAAAAAGACGATCGGCGTGAACAATTGCTAGATAGAAGAACGATCGTTACATATTTTTACTTACATCTTCATACAGCAAATAGAAAAAGAAAGAAAAATAAAAAAACGAACCGGTAAAGAGAGAAGAAAGAGGAATAAAAATAGAAATAAAAAAAAAGTTTTGATCCGATCTTGTCTTAAGCTCTTTTACCCACGTCTACGATAACTGATTGACACAGATTATTATCAGGATTTTCTCACCGTATGATCACGTATGGCATTCTTCATCTTGTTTTGCACAGTGTTTATTTCTTCTTGCACCGTCTTAGGTATCTCCATGCTCGTTGATGGTGCAGGTATGCGCGTTTTTCGCATCCAAAAGTATATACAGGATAACCGTAGTAGCGTGAGCGAGAGAAGGGGAGGATGGGGAGCCTCCTCCTCCCCCCTCCCAGCGGCCAAATCGACGAGAGCCGCGATGTACGAACGAACACTAGCAGCATGCACTGCTACTACCACCGCTATGCCATCACCGCCACTACTAGGAGCAACAACAGCAGCAGCAGCAGCACCACCACCACCAAACACTACTACTACTACCACCGTCGTCGACAGTACACTAAAGTACCACACCGCTAGCACTACAAGGAGCCAGGAGCGAGGCGCGGACGAGCAGATCTTTTGATCGTTTTATTACTTTTGACTTAACTTTTCACGAATGACACTTTTCCAAACGCACGAATAAACAAAATGGAAATTCAGATCGCAATGAAAGAATACAAGTTTATTAGTGTTCTCCTAGTTAGTGCACCTTTTCGTTAATCGCGTTGTTGCCCTTCCGCAATGAGAGCGTAATGTAAGTCGGTGAGACACTAGCACGAACACTAGCACGAGCACGATAACGGGGTACAGGGGGTAGAGACACCACCAACACCGAAAACCGCCTCCTTCGTCCGTCAGCGAACGTACGTGCTGCCACCACTCTCGACGCGCGCGCAATGACGTACCGAACGCTTCGAGTGCCCCATACTTCCTCCCTTCCCTCCCTCCTTCCGTCCATCCTTTCTTTTACATATTTTCACTAAAAAGAAGGAAACAAATCTTCGCTACATCACCGATACTACACATAGATCACTATCCCCAACTGATCTTCGCGCCAATTTATCTACCTTCCTCCGCTTTCTCACGCAAATCGAGATTCGAAAACTGACTCGACTTTCCGGTTTCTTCGATGGACGAATCAAAATGACTTTGTTGCCACTTCTAACAATAAGATGTTCTTATCGATTTATGAGAATTTTTTCAACTTTATCGATTCTTATCGTTGAATCTACGCACTTAAAAGAGGTTAACGTCTCTATACTTTTGAAAAATTTCAATTATTTATGCTTTTTTTTGTACATTTAACAAATTTGAAATGTTGTATATAGAGTGTTATGCTTACGGAATGAAAAGTCTATAAATATATATATATATACTTTCGTATGAATCTAAAGCACGCTATGTTATCATTCTCACTTGTGGTATTAAGAATATATATATTCGTACAATTTTTAATTTGTATTTATAAGAAAAGCAACGTTCTGTAAAATAAAATTAATTTATAATAAGACTATACTAATCCGTTTAGTTTTTGTATCGTGTTTTTTTATCTTTTAAATATATATTATAGCATATACACACAATTATTTCCTTCAAAAAATACTTTATTTACATATTTTTAGTATTATTGGTTGAGTTAAGTTTAACTTTAGCCTTAAAATATCTCAGATATAATATACGTATATATATATATTCCTTACAAAATTTCATTTTTACTGGATCTTTCGTCTCTGGCCTGACGATTCATTCCGCATCTTATGATTGTGATCCCAGGCAAACATTCTCACAATATAAAGTATCAGTGTGTGGTGGATTAGTTCAAACACTGGAATGCTGTAAACATTATATCTTTATAGTCGTTCTATAAATCCTTATTGATAGTTATATTTGATTTTTTATAACAGTAAGTTTCGTTTTTACGTTAATAATGTATAGTATATTTCTTTAAAAAGATCAATATTTCGAGCGTTTTAAGGTTATTAGATCAGCATTATAAGTTTAACTTAAAAAGTATTAATAAATAAAATAAATTAAATAGATTATTTTGTCCTTTATCATTTTCATTTTTGATTTATCATGTTTCCAGATATTTTTAAATAAATTTATACTCCTTATTTGTTTCATTTTCATTTATAACCTCTTGAATATTGACAATATTGTAGTCACCCAGTAACAAAATAATATATTATTTAAAAGTAAATTGTAAGTTTATACTATTATTATGATTTTAAATTTAAGTATATAATAATATTATTTTAAAAATTTATATTTATATATATAATTAATTTATATTGTTAGTGTGGTAGATAATGTATGACAATTTGTAACTTTTAATTACAAACATTGCAGATGGCTAGTAAACGTACGGCAACTACAGAATTAAATCATGATAACTGGAATGAAGAAAATGAACCTGAAGATGCAGGAACATTTACAAAGGCTTCGGATGAAGTTCTTCAGAAAAGAGTAATTAAAGCTGCTAGGCGTAGACTGAGCCCTAGAGATGTAATACATTTTTGTTGAATATTTTCTATTTTTGCAATAATTAAATAATAATCATTTTTAATTGCAAGAACATTTGATATATTTCAGGAAGCTAGCAAAAGTGCATTTGGTGGATTTACAGGTTTCAAAACTGCAACTACGACGAGTTCGTTATCTCCATTCAGTTTCTTAGCCTCTACGAGTAATACTTTTCAATCGATGTCTTCATCAACATCAAACACAAATAATGAATCTAATAAAAACTCAGAAAATGGAACTAGTAAGACAGAAAATGCCCAACAAGTCAAACCACCATTACCTGAAAAAGATAAAGATCAGTCGGAACAAGAAAATGAAAAAATTTCTAAAAAATCTTCAGAATACTTTTCACAATTAAAAGGATTAAATGAAAGTGTGGCGCAGTGGATTAAAACACACGTAGATGAAAATCCATTTTGTATTTTAACACCTATATTTAATGATTATGCTAATTACTTAAATGAAATAGAATTAAAATACGGAAATGAATTTAAGAAACCTAAACAGGATGAACAAACTTCATTTGAAATGGACAATACTAGTAAAAATGATAGCAAAGATAGTAGTAATAAGAACGAAAATGACAATACTGCAGAAGGTACAAGTAAAAAATCTTTTTCTGGACTATCAGATTGGAAACCAGAAAAATCAATCTTTGGAAATGTCAGAATAAATGCTAAATCAATATTTGGTAACACAGACCAAATATCAGAAACTCCAAAATCTATTTTCAATAACACGGAACAAATTACTAATGTACAAAAACCAATTTTTGGTAATGTAGAGACAAAGACATCTAGTAAAAGTATATTTGACAAGCCAAGCCCTGAAAAAAATCTACTATTAAATAAGCCAACTGCAGGTTCAGAAGTTAAAGATAATAATGAATCTAAATCTGACAAAATAGGCAGTGGTTTTACATTTACATCCTCTAATTCGGCTACATTTAGTTTCGGTCAAAATTCTACAACTACTAGCCCATCTGCTGGTTTTAGTTTTGGAAAGTAATTATCTGCTATTCTTTTATAAAAGTATTTCTTTTTTTTCTTCTGAAATATTTGATATCTATCTTTAAAATGACTATTATATTTTAGTACAAAACCATTTTTTTTTGGTGCTCAAGTCGCAAAACCACAAGATAATGAAAACCAATCTGAAAATCAATCTAAAGATGACGATCCTGAGGAACCTCCAAAACCGGATTTTAAACCAGTTACCGAAGAAGGAGCAATTTTCGAACAAAGGTAAATTATATTATACTATTAGATAATTGTAATATTCCTATAAAAACATTTAAATTTACATCTATTTTCTTATTATATTTACAGATGTAAAGTGTTTATTAAAAAAGACGGAAGTTTTAGTGATAGAGGAATAGGAACATTATTTTTAAAACCAACGCCAAATGGAAAGACGCAGTTAATAGTACGAGCAGAAAATTCATTGGGAAATTTATTATTAAATACTTTATTAACCGAAAGTATTCCAACACAACGTATGAATAAAAATACCATAATGTTGGTTTGTCTGCCGGATTCTCAACCTCCACCTACGCCAGTTTTGTTAAGAGTGAAAACTAGTGGAGAAGCAGATGTTTTACTAGAAACTTTAGATAAACATAAAAAATAAATTACAAATAAAATATCTAGGTACTATATTTGACTCCGAAAAAAGCGTTACAAAATAATTAAAAAGGAGGTATGAAATATGTTGCAACAAATGTAATATCGTAGACGAAAACTTGAAATTAAAACATAAATGTGTTAATTGTTGCATCATCTTATAGTCTTGCTATGTTATGTTACTACCTTTTAAGAGAAAAAGATGCCATTAGCAAGTATTTATACGATTACACATAAAGATTGTAAAATAAGATTAATGAATGTGTAACATCTATTATGGAACTCATATTATAATACATAGTATCATTGGAAACTTATCGCATGTTATCATGGGTAATATATTTGATATTTTGTATGATTCTAACGATAAATTTGTTTTTTTGAGAAAATATTAGGAAAAAGTCCTTAGAAATTGTAATAGTATTTGCAGTTAATTTTTCTTAAAAAAGAAATAGCAGAATAACGTATTAAAAAATGCTGTATATCATTTAAAAAATAGATGTTTCTCTCTCTATCTCTCTCTCTCTCTCTCTTTCTATAAATACTATAGTCTTTTGCAATTTTTTGTAATTACTTAGTTGAAATTTCTTGAATTTTCAAAACATTTAAGTATTCTTATTATTTTAATTAAAATAAATAATTTCTTTTTTCAATTCTGTACTCTCCAGTATATACGACAAGTATGCTTATTGAAACTAATACATTTCTTTAACTATTTAAGAATGATCATAATGTATGAGTATAATTTTTTATTATATCGAAAGTGATGTTATGTATGTCTTTTGATAAATAGCACGCTATGGAATTTTCTCACATACGACATAGAAAACATGTTTTATATACCATATGGTCACGTCTAGTAAAAATTGAATATAAATTATAAAAAGAATAAATACTATTTTTTTCTTAGAATAATCTCTATTTATTATTTCCATGTTTTGTTCAAAATAACAAAAATTGCGATTGATTTAATATATCATTTATACAATTCTTTTTTTATTGAGTATATATATGAAAATAAAAATAAAATTCCCATTTATAAAATTAATCTATTTAGTAAAAGAAAGAAAAAGCATTTGGTTTGCCATTAATGATCTATACTTACTTAATATTTAATCATGAAAATTATTAGTATAACGTTCTTGTAATAATGCTAAATTATAAAATAAAATTGTCAATATATGACATAGTAATTTGTCACAACAAATATACAAACAATATCACTACATTTTTATAAAGAATTCTAAAATATTAAGAAGAATTTCAATTTATACAACGAAATCAATTTTCGACACGTTCTTCATTATCTTTATGTTGTAAAATAAAGATGTAGGTTACATATTGAAGTTTATAAAAGAATATTTTCAACATATAATTTTTACTTTTATTTTACATCATTATTTTTACTTGCTGTTATTGTAAAATATATATTGTAAAATCCAATTTTCTATATATATTATAAAATTTATTCTAATTTAAATTTTATATTTTTAAACAATATTTATCTACTTATATTTACTCTCAATTATTTGTTGTATTATAAAATGAAATCTACAATAAATGGTGAATGCATTATTTGTGAAATTGTATATACAGAAAATATATCATTAGACTTAATTTTATGTATGTATATATATGTATGTATATATACGTACATATATATATCTTGTATTTTATAAAGAATCTTAATGAGCAAAAGTACCATTATATTCTATTATATTAAACAGTGTTAAAATAAATGTTTTTTTATAAACTATAGAGCACATTGTGCATATCACTTGTTCCATTAGGGATTGTGAATTCAATAAATGAATTATATGATTTCACGTATGTTAAGCTCTTTGGGCCATAAAGGGTGTCAAAGCACCCACTTGTCCTAATCCTAATTGAATGTGTTGCATGTGAATTTCCACACAATTTTGAAAAACTTGTTGATTTTGTGGACTAAGTTTAGATCTTATTTGCTCCATAGTACCTTGAAGTACTTTTAATTCATAAGCATTTCTATCAGAATCAGATAAACTCTGAAAAAATATATAATTATTTAGAATCAAAATGAAATTTTGAATTTTAATGTAAAAGTTACTACATTATTGCATTACCTTTACTTGTAACATAAGAGCTGTTAGATCTGTTACTAATTGATTCATTTTTCCAGGTTCTTTATCATGAATCATATTATTTCTAGCAACCATATCCGCTGCTTCCTGTTTACATTTTTCTCGCAGATGAGATGGTGCTAACATTGCTGCAACACTAGGTTCAGGAGCTATTTCTTGACAGAGTTCTTGTATGTCACTTAAGTATTCTTGTAAAGCTGTATTCATTTTTTCCAATTCAACTATAATTCTGAAAAGTTATCATTTATAAGATATAATAGTGATTATAATATAATTAATGATTATATTTTGCGTACCCTGCATATCTTCTTTCGAAATCTTGAGGAAAAGGTTCCCCAAACGATCGTCGTTTTTCCGCTTCACTATTCATATCTTTTAATTTCTTAATTTTCAATTTTTTAGCTCCTAATATTTTATTTACTTTTACCATATACTCGAGTAACTTTACTGGGTAGCCATTTATAGTACCACCAATATGAGATTTCTTTGGTGCCGATACAGATGCATTAGAAATTAATGGATCATTGTTTAAACGCGGAGACAATAATTTCATTGCGTATGGTGGTGAAGGTACATATTGCACGTGTCTTGGACGAAATTTTTGAGCAAATGAAGCAACGCTAATGGTTTCTGGTGGTTCATTTGACTATAAAATATATTTATTAATATTATATTATTATATGAAAAAATGTTTCTATAATATAGTTTTATTCAATGATATTCTTATGGAAGATTTAATTAAAACTTACCAATACTTCATAGTCAGGAACACTATGGGTTCCGAGACCAGCTCTCTCAAATGTAATTCTATAAGTATTATTACTTGTATCTACCGCATCTATACTACCAGTAAATAATCCATCCTGTGGTTTTCGTAACCTTGCCGTTACTTTTGTACCTATAACTAATTGAAGTGGTATTTCTGGCGGTAAATCTTTGAAACTGTTTATATCTGCAGTTTTTCTTTGTTGTAACATTCTTATTTTTTGACGTTTTCTTTCTAGTTCTTTTCTCTCTTCTTCAAAAAATGATTGTGAACATCTACGTGGTTTACCCATCATTCTTCTGATTTTGCACCATTCAACACGAGTCAGTTTACGTGTTTTCAATTGTGGAAATGATTCTTTTAAACATATCATGAAATCATTATCTCCTTCAAATAAAGTTCTGTATAAAAAAAATATTAGAAATATTAGAAATATTAGAAATAAGATAATATACAACATACTAATGTACGATTCGTGAGAAAATTGTGCTGCTGAGTTAGACTGAATAGTTCAAGGGGCTATTAAAACAGTCGATCGAGGTTTGAGTCCTGGTTCAATCAACCCAACAGCCCAAATTTTCCACGAATCCGATAATCGATAATCGATAATACAGATCGATAATATAATAATAACACTTACTTATCGATATTACTATAAAACCATTCATAACAAACCCATTTATGTGCTTTGGGCAATTTTAGCAAATTTCTTAATCTCATTCCAATCTTTTGTCCAATCTTCCTATCAGGTGAAGGAGGTTGCATAGATTTGTCATGTTCTTTTTCTTGTTTTACCGTTGTCATCACATTAGGGAGATGTGAAATATTGCTATTAATTTTCTTGGGCTCGTTAATTATTCTATTCTGTTTTTTTGCTGGCGATGGACGAACTATTTTTTTGGGGGATTGCTTAACATCTGTACTAGAAGGATCCTTCTTAATCCTATAAAATATTAAAAATATAAAATACCATATTTAAAATAATTTACCAATTTTTGTGTGTAACAACGTACCTATGATGTGGATGATTAACCAAAATATCATCATAAAATAATTTATTCTTTTTCCTAATTCTGGCTGGCATTCCTCTACGGTTTAAAACTTGGACCGGTTGAGTAGGTGGATTGGGTTTAGGTGGTGGTTGAGTGCCTACACGCTGAAGACCTAATGCTGCAGGTCCAAGCTCAGGTATTGGCTCGGATTCTTCTACATCCATATGCGAATCCATTGAATTATTTAAAATTGGTTGATCATCAAGATCCATTAAATCATCATCTTCTATCTCGGTTTTAATTTCATCCACTGTAGGATATCCTCCATTTTTAATAGATAGTAACGTTTCAGCCGATTCATCTAAAAAAGATTGATTATATTGATTTATCTTTTTTGATAATTAAATTTTATTGTTTAATTTATTTACACTGTAATCAAAACTATTAGTATAAATTCACATTTCCATTAAAATTCCTTACTGAATTTGACTTATTAGATAATGTCATATTCATAAGAGATTGATAACATATATTATATTAAAATTAAAGAAAAATTTCAAAGAATAAGTTAATAATTTAAATTTTATATTATTTTATATGTCTGTATGTATCAAAATCATTAAAATACATAATTTACCTTCGATTACTAAATATAATACAATTATGTATCACATAAGGTGTAAGTATACTAAAATATTAATTGACTAGGCACATTCTGTCTTACGTAAATTCTTCCGCCTTTAACGGACCTAAATCATTATATCTTAACTTCAAAATACTAACATAACCAAACTTGCAACGAATTTTGTAATGATTATTCTCACTTGTTGCGCCATTTAGATTTTTAGTTTTATGAAAATAATGGTACATGTTTCTAAGTGAAAGCGTAACAATATCAAGTATTAGAAAAAATTCTAAAGGTTAAATCTAATATCGCTTTATGAATATCTTGTCGTCCCGCTTCAATTATGCATTGGTCATTTTTGAAATTTTAAACCAGGTCGTCTCAACCGTAACTTAAACGTTGGGTAATAGTTTGTCTGCAATCAATCTAATACCTTATCCTATTATTAAAAAGAAACAGATAATTTGGTGTTTTTTATATCGTTGTTTTAATAAGTAGAAACACCTTTTACGCTTTGAATTTGATCAAAATTTATTTGAGTTATACTTACTTTCAATCGTGTCCGCCATTTTGATATACTAATGCATTATGGGATTGCATTTAAGTCATAAAGTCTACGTTGTAACTAGCGCATACGAATCGTTTATAGTGTTATTAAATAAAGAAAGCATCTCTAGGTAATATTATATACATTTATGCACAAATAATAACTCTATTAGAATAAATATTTTCAAATTCATGAAAGATACAAATAAACACATTGTATCTTTGATAAAAAGTACTTTCTAATAATACGTTTTAATGATGCCGCGCAGATTTTAAAATATCATAACTTACATTTATCTTTCTATTTAGATTATCGCATTAGATTTGTAATCATGTATTTGGGTTTAATTAAATCAAGTAGATTTTTAAAGCATAATGTATATATGTATATACATAGAGTCAAATTTGTGTTGATCACAAACAGATATTTGTATATTTACCTACGAGGCAATATTTGTATAAATAAAATCTTTGCAACTCGCTAAATTACATTTGTCGAATATTTCCGGAAGTGCTTTACACGCGTGCATTTTGTTTAGAAAACATAAAGGTTCGATAATTAAAGAGAATATAATGAGAGATAATTTGTTGTTTTTTTCTTATTCACGCTGAATGCATTTTACTGATGTTATGATTTTATGAAATTGATATTGTCAGAATAATTAGACAATAATTAATCATTAGATATAAGTTTTTATTATATATTTCTATAAAATGTTAGACAGAAAGTGGTGCCACTTTATTGCTTTTATAATTAAAATTTATTGGTCGAACACACAGGAACGTTTCAATCATTTACAAATATTCGATGGTTATCTATCGATCGATCGATCGCGAAGCGATTTTTAATCGATCATAGTCGAGATGAGATCACGCGCAAACGTCACTCATTGTTAGTCGTGATTTATACAAATGATAGTGCATCATAGTTGTACATCGTTTTTTAATGTGCGTCAAATGTCAAGATTTCATTAAATAAAAATAGTTGGCTACCCTTAGTATATACAACATTAGAGCGTAAGTTATTTATTTAGAATACTTTTTTTAAAGTCCATAAAATTTTAATATTTTTAAGGTTAGGTGATTCCTTGTAGAAAATATTCTTACAAGATGATTTAATTATGATATTTTACATATCATTTATTGTTTTTCTATATACGAGTAACATTTTATCAATTAATATAGACGAAAATGTTTATTGCCGTGAAAAGGATAGATTGATTACCTCCGAAGATAGTGATGAATACTTTCTTGCGAGTGTTGAAATTAATGCGATGGTAAAGTTACTGTGCCGATATTGGTGAGATATGTTAATATTTGTATTCAAAAGTAATAAATAGTAGTTGATAAAAATGTACAATGTTAGTATGAAAAATTTAATAATCATACAACGGGATATATTTTAGTAATGATAATGAAGAAATACAACCAAAAATATGGTATTATCAAGATCGGTTACAAACTTTACCAAAAAGAGAAGTAGAGATAGGGATGGACAACAATGTATCGTATAATAGAATTTATGTGACATTAGATCTTTCATTAGTTATAAAGAATATTGAGAAAACAGATGCCGGAATTTATCGATGTCATGGACAAGAAGGTCAAGACGAAGAATACAAATTTAATTATAGAATAGAGCGTAAAATTATTAAATCTAATCTATTAATCCTTTTCTTAATAATTGAATTGATTCAAAGGGTTAAATAATAACATAGAAAGTGATATTTTAGCAATACTTAAAGATCAAAGAGATACTTTTATCGAAACAGGCAACATTACCAAATGGGAAGAATATCGTGTGATAAATTTATTATCTGTGACTACGCGCTTTGCTGTATGAATTTTAATTATAATATACAATTAAATAAGAAAATATCAAATATTTTAGATACTGTTAATAGTATGAATTCATACCATACTTTGTTTTAGGTATCTAAAATGCTTAATCTTGTATATTTACGACAGCAAGGCATCATTCTAGAAGTAATTTCTGAATGGGGACCTTGGGGTCAATGCGAAAAATGTATACATAATGTGGGAATTAGAACCCGTAGAGGATATTGTAGATTGAAGCGTCAATTTGATAAAGTAAACTGTAACAATAATATTCATTAGAAATGATGAATAATATAAAAACACATATAAAATGTCATTTAATGAAATTCTGAAAATATGTATATAAATAAGGCGTTAATTACTTATTAATAATTTTACAGACCGTTATATTGGATCATACAACTCAAATCGTAAGGTTTTTTAATAAAACCCCTATGCTTCCTTGCAAGTAAGAATACTTACTTTATCTTGATATAATACAAACTAAAATAAAACCTAAAAGATCATGCATGTTATATAGATCTATACTTCTTCAAGAAGATTTTCCTATTGTCAGCAGTGCTGTTAGATATTTGCCTGAATTTGTTTTGGAGGAGACATGTAAGAATTGTACTAAAGAAAAGAAAAAGAAAAAGGGAAAAAAATTTAAATATAGAAAACAATATGTGTTCTCAGAGGGTGCTCATTTTGCTATTTCTTGTCCAGAGTATGTTACAGTTTTGTTTTATATACTCATACGGACCTCATTACAAGACTACTTATGGGCTGTAAAAGAGTCATTTATAAAAATTACAAATTTCCTATATTACTACAATGGATTTAAATTTATTATTTATGAATGTTCGATATCATAAGCGAGTTTTTTTTGGTAATATATGGCACCTCGTGTGTACACAGAGAAATTTTTTTATTTAAGATTATTGTCAGTTTTATAATGAAACTTGATTATCAAATTTTAAAGGAATCTATGGCGAAGGAAGTGTTAATATGTTATTTTAACAAAATAAGAAAAATAATTTTACAACTTATAGAATTATAGCGAGGTCCGGTGGTATTCAAAAACAATAATTTGTTTTAATTGATAAATGTAGATCAGACCAGCAATCTAATATAATCTGGAAAAAGGATTTGATTGTTTTAAAGCAAGGCGTTAGTAGATCTTTTCGCAAAACGGATCTCGAAGTTCGAATGATGGTTGATACATTTTCAACGCTCTACATAATTGGTGTTATTTTCTTTCCAAAAACATATACTTTAATTTATAAATCATTTAATATGCACTAATAATTATATACAATAGATATTACAAAAGAAGAAGAAGGTAATTATACGTGTTACGTCGATAACGTCAATATGATGCAAATGAAGATCATTGTTGTCTCTAAATCGAAATTTTGGACATTAGGTAGAATAATGATATTCTTTCTTATAACTTTCATTTAATAATTTGTCTTGTTATTTGCATCGTTATAGCTCTTTTGCGTCACATGGGCTATCTTGGATTTATATTATTATTAACTTCATTTTGTTATTGTACCGGATTGATAATAACATGCAAACGAAAGGATACCTTCAAAGTGGTATATCCAGAAAAGAATGATGCACGTAAAAAGGAAGAACGTTATTGGAAGGAAAACAAGAATAAAGAAAACGTGCCTATAATATCCGATGTGGACAGTAAGGAATAAAAAATAATATATAGTTAGTAATATAATTAATACCATTTTAATTTTCTTTAGTTTATAATGTATTTCTGCTAATTGCAGTTGATTGTTAATAAAGATTTGTTTAAATATAAATAAACTTATTGACAATTAATCAGCCGTTTAATGCAGATTTTCATTAGTCTCTCATCGCCAACGACAAAAACAATTCAAGCTATAACACACACATAATTAATAAATAATTAGTTTAAATGTTAAATAAAATTTGGAAAATAAATCGGCTTTTTTTTTATAAAAAATCCATTCTTGATTCGATAAGAAATGAATAGAAAATGGTGAAAGAAAAAGAACTCAATTTGCCGAACGAACGTTGATTAATTATAACAAATAAATAGTTGTAAAAAATTAATCGAAATATTAAGAGAAATAATAGCATTTAAGAGGCTCGTGTCAAATCCGATGTATTTACGATGACGCCCGACCTGCAACTGTCTCGAATAGTTTACATATCGGAGAAAAAAGTAAACATAATACGTAAGGATAGAAGTAGAGATGGAAATAGGAATAAACATAGTTCGATCTTGAAAAAAAATCGATAACGACTGTTTACCAAATTTCTTTTCGTTCGGAGTCTTGCAAAAAGTAGACTAACGGTAAGACGTGCTCCAACGGATTTATTCTTTTGTTAAGTAAATCTAGGTTTCTAATTTGGATTTTTTTGTAATTTTTCATTGTTTTTATTTTATTTTCTATCTTCGCAGCGATTCGATTATTGTCAATTTTTCCAACATATTTATTTCTATCTAAGATCGAATTATTTCTTTTACAGCTTCGTCATAAAAGATGGTCGAGAAAGCATTCACCGTGGGCCATTTTTTCTTTTTTTGCAAAACATTTTGGGAGCTAAAAAAGGGTAGATAATGAAAAAATGTAATTAATGTCACACGTCAAAAATAAGCGCGTACGTAAGTTTAAGAACGTTGTATCATCAAAGCAGCCGCATTCTATGTAAAACATTTTTCTTTTCATTTGAACGATGAATTTAATTTGACATAGATGTTTATTTAAATTTTTATTTAGAAAAATTAAGAGAGAATTTCTGCACGAATTAATTGTAAGAAAAATCCATGTTCGTTTATTGTATTATTCATATATAATGGTATGGTGTAGTTTTGTTTGGCACTGTATATAGAATAGTTACTTGTTGTGTTCGAGTCAAGGTAAAAGCCAAGTGAAAGGAAAAGAAAGAAGGACCGCGTGGCACTTACAGTCTTCTCTGGTGAGTCCGTTAGTCTACCGGGTAATTTCAAAATGGCTGTGCTCGATCGTTTCTCCTTGATATTTTACCTTCCGTTGTTCTTTGTGAGTTACCAGGCGTGAATCTCTCAATTCGTGTTTATGCAACGAAATAGAACGATCGATTGCAGGACAGGATGGATTTGAGGACGTGCATCGTCGTATTCTTTTCAATTTTATACTTCACTTTACTTCCAACAACGATTGGTGAGTCGATCTATACGGTTCTTAGTTGGGGCCTGCAGTACCACAAACTGGCACAATACTTTCACCTAAACGGTGACAAATCCTTTATGGTATTCACCGATGCGTGCTCAATTGCGTTTTACCCTTTATTTATTATTACTAACAATGAGAACATTTTATGCGAGATGTGAAAATACTTTTTTAGACAAAACAAATATTTACTCGCTGAGGGACTTAAAAATTTGTTCAATTAGCAAAATGTAAAAATATATTTCTATTATTTTCTTACTTCCTTTAGACGCACTTCGAAGATGCGTTCATTGCAGATCAAGAGGAGAGCAAGGCTCCTGTAAAGATCCATTTACGATGAATTCGACACAAATTGAGTTAGAAAGAGGCGTAGACATGGTACCCTGTGTATCCGGTTGGTGCGGTAAAATAATCGAGAGTCAAAATTTAAACAACGGTTAGTACCATTCATTATTATTATTATTATCATTAATTCAAATAGAAATAATGATTTAATTTAGAAGCAAACATCGACTTCGTTAAGTATTTTATTTTTATTCTAATTGTAAATGAATGAAAACAGTCAACTCTTTAGAATCGAAACGAGGATCTCGCTCTATGTTGAAATCGATCTTACTTTCTATGTAATCAAAGATAAAGCATCGTTCTGTGTCCATTTTATGAATAGGATAGCGTTATGCTTAAAATATTAGCGATCGTATTTTTCAGAATACGGTACCGCCACGCAAAGACTGTGCTTTCAAAGAGGACCGGATGACGGCGAAGAGAGATGCGCCTACACTACGTGGAACTATAGAAAAGTTTACATGTGTCTTTGTTTAGGAGATCTTTGCAATGGAGCAATTAATTCGTTAAACACATCTTATTCGTTACTGGTCTTGATATTATGTCTTACCGTTAGATGGGTCTTGTAATTTTTTCAAGCGAAACTTCTTTACTTCCATGGGAGTGATTTTTCAAGCTCGTCACGAAAATCAACATCACGACATGCGAACAAGTCTAACGTTACGGAACAGGTAACCGAGTATACTTTCAATCAAATAAAATCAATAAAAAAAACAACATACGATACTTTTTGCATTGCATGAACTATTCTATCTTTACCCAACGCGCGCGCCCACACAATGCTGTTTTGAATCGATGGAATAAAATAATTTCGTCTTGCATTCTCTTTAAAAGAGAGAATTTATTTTTCAAATAATTTAATGCGATAAGAATATATTCACAATAAATAAAATATTTTTATTATATCTTCTAAACTTCATATTATGTTCGTATTCTATTGTACTGCAATCGTTTATTTTATTCCTTCTCTACACTTGAATTGTGAATTAAACTGTTCCGTAATTAATGAGATATTATTTCAATTGTAATTCAAGTAAGAACGATAAACGTTGTTTTCTCCTATAATGTAAACGAAATAATAATTACTACTTATTAAAGACGTGAGAAATCGACATATATATACGTATACTATTCGTTGGTCTATTTAATAACACAACATATCACTGATTTCTAAAACATTTATAATTTATTTAATTGTAAGTAGATGACTATGTGTTCATCTAGATTTTATTATAGATTAATATCATTTTTTATTTTTAGTTTAATTTAAGATAAGAAAAGATTTGATCGTATGAAATAATTTAATGTGTCTCATGATTCTGTCGTGATGTTTGAAAATGAAATATTAACTTTGAACAGTTTTTTGTCTATTCCTGCAGAAATTCGTATAAATATGGCTATTCACTTTTCAGCCAAATTCTAATGCACAAGTTTTTAGCCCTGGTGCATTTTGTAAAAAGGCGAGCTAGGTCTGAGACTGTTTAAAATATGACCGTGTAGGCCATTTAGTCTTCTCTCTTCTTGATTTCGCAATATAGCACGTACGTGTGGATAATCGCCGTAAAATAATTCGCCGCGGCCATAAATGTATTTCACTGCCATCATTGCTTCCGTACCAATTAGAAGCAAAGGATCGTGATATTCTAAATTAGTCAAAAAAGGGATTAGTTTTTGAAAGTAAAAATATTCTTAATATTATTGAAAAGTTTTGTTACCTAAACCGTTACTGTAATCCGGCGTTATATGTCTAGATTCTTGAGGATTATGGCTAAAATCATTCCCGTCTATGGGGGGAAGAAATACTCCAACTGGCCATAACGACTCAGCATTCTCCGGCTTTATTACTGTCGCATATTTTCCAATTTCGGGGAAACTTTGTTGTGAATTGGGATCAATATTTATACGTTCTCCTAAAAATGAAGATAATTCAAATGTATTAGGTACTATATTTTTTGAAAATGTTTTAGCAGAAATATATGACGTACCAAATTGTCTTCGTGGATACGAGGAAATGCTTCTTCGTCCAATCGAGACAAAAGATTTTTGATAGATCGTACGATCTCCTATTACACAAGAAGGAACGATTTGACTTCGTTGTAATAGTGTTTCAATTAGTTTAGTGAAATCAGTTCGATTATACACATATGTATTATATTTATACTAACCGTCTGTCGTAATACCATGTTCGTATACGTGAGGTCGAGAAACGAATTTCACGTGAACATTCGCAATTGGTAAAGCTTCGATCGTTGCTATTACCGATAAAAGGACTAACGCTTTTGTCTGTAACTTAATATAACGCAATATTATCTTCAATATTATATGATAAATATATAACAAATATCGAAGACAAATATTACTTTAATTAATTAAACTCTTTGTGTGTGTGTGTGTGTGTGGAAGACCGAAAAAAACAATTTCTCGTGCTATCGGCATGGGTTTATATTTTGTATGTAACAGTCATTCCTTGCACGCACTCAAGCGTGTAGATTGTTTTACGGATGCTGAGTACGCATAGATAGATTGTTCAATATTACCCTTCTCTCTATATGTTCGATTGCATACACATAGTTACACCTTTCGAAGTAACATAGATTGCGCGCGGGTGCGCAAACGGTCATAATTTCGTCACGCGCCTTAGTGCACTCTGGTATCTTAAGGAACAGGGATTCTCAACTTTTTGTGTAGGAAGACACCTTTTCTTTACATTTGGAAATGCAAATGTATACAAACAAAAATACGTGCGAGGTGTGCCTCATATTTTAGAAAAATATATAATCAACTAATTATGAAATGGAAACGTGTACAACAACTCATACGATTAAATAAGTTGCTCAAATGAATATATTATATGTATATACATTGTATTTCGTAATTTATATCTTGTAATGAAAGTGTATAAACGGTTGATAGTAACTTTACTTCATTCGCCATTCCTTTTCCATTCGAATAAATATTTCCAAATACTCGTAGTTTTGTTTCCTAGAGCAATGGCGAACATTATTATTCTTTTCGTTGCGTATGTTACACAATGCATATTACGTACTCGTAATCGTACGTAGGATCATTTTATTTGTATATACAGGTATCTGTATATAAGCGCACCTTTTTTCGATAGTTCATGATAGGATAATAAGTTTAACGCGATTGTGTTCGATGGTGCATATCGAACTCTTTCACCGTTCATTTACTATTCTCCTTTACAATTATTTACTTTTTATACTTCATTTAATTTTAGCGTATTTGATACAAGATATAAGTTTTACTTTAGTTACGATTTTGATATGAACAAAAGATCCGAAACAAAATCCGAATAGTGCCGTTCGATATGTATTCTCGATAGATTTGCATTAGAAACATAAACATATCAAAGTAACATAACATATCATTAATACTTTCACTATTTCCTATCCAAGTAGCCAATTCGAAGGATTGAAGATATCTCCTTTCCGTCAACCCTACATTGTACTTTATATTTTAACAAAAAAGAACAAGATTTTTGCTGCTAAATTACTTTCCAAAGTCAGTAAAATAATTAGAAGAAAAATACAGAAAACTTTGAAGGTGCATACGTATATATATATCGATACGTAAAGTTTACAAGAATGCGTATGTATAGAGAGATTGCGTTCGAATAGATTTAAAGAGTTTCTTATAAAAATAATAGAAGGATATTTACTCGAAGGACCCTAAAATTGTACGAAATCCTTGATACAATACTTACCATGAGTAATTTGAAATATGGCGGTACTTTTACCGCGCTACGATATATGTATATTTCAAATATGTATCCAACTATAATTTGTATGTATTATTAATGCGTTTTTTTTTGTTTGTTTATATTTTCCGGATGCACGATAATATTTCTATGTTAAAGCACCATAATTATCCGTTTCGACTATGACACTGTAAAAAAAGCCGCAAGGTAAAACCGAATCGAAGCAAATGATTGCAAGAGGACGAAATTGGTGCAACGTAGCGCGGTTATTTCAAAGAACTGATCCAGTTTGAACGTCTTGGGTGAATGTCGACGACGATGCATATGCTCCCCAACATCCCTCTTCTAGAATATACAAATACGCCACCTGGTTTGAAAACGTTCGAGAAGAATATTTTCAAGAGGCTAAGGTATATATGTGTATACTTATGTATATAACTTTCATTTCGATTCTCTCACACTTTCTGATCCTTGAAAATAAAACGTCCCTGATGGTTAATGGCTGGTAATGGCTCGGTATAATAAGAAGTCGAATTAAGGATTACCGATTATGGTTATTCAGTACAAAGTTATCTCGTAATTAAATATTCATTAAACAATTTTGTTTATTACTCATTTAAGAAAATAACGATGTGTGGTAGGATAGTGCATAATTCATATACTGATTTAATAAAAAATTGGTTTTTAAATTATTAAAGAATTTCATTAAATTCATAGTGCGCTAAGTAAGAAATACTTGCAACATGTTCAAATTAGAATTAATTTAAATTACTTTTGTTTCATTTTTGAAAAAGATAAATTAATATTATCTTAAAATAATAATTAAAGAATTAACACGCATGCATAGTTATATATTATGCTGAAGTTTGTTTCGAAGTAAAATAACGCACGATGATCTCATCCCAAGAGATGATGTCCTTGAGGTTCAATGAAATTTCTCATTCAGGATACTTGGTATCGTATGGGATCGGTCTACTTTCACAACTATAACTTCCGTTTGATCCGGAACTTTCAGACAGCCTAATATTTGTAATATAATACAAATTGCATGGAATACTATTTATAATATGCTGCTAAGAGTTTTAAATTCATATTTTGAACTACGACCATTGGATCAAATTAATATCATACGTATCGAATATCTATAATATATGTATATATATTACATATGAAATAAATATTTAATATTTATAAATATGTAATATATATTTGTTTAAACTCATTGTTAAATCATTGCTTTGAAAAATTTGCGTAATGAATTATGATTTCGCGCGCGCGCACACGGCGGTGCATCGACTTGCAGTCAGAAGTGTAACAAGGTGTATTTGTGCCCTAGGCAAAAAATGACACAACGACGATACGAGCATGGATTATAATTATAAAATAATGAATTTACGAGTGAACATATTACACACGATTAGCTACATAATTTTATTGTCGAATGTATTTGCAATTGTATTTTGTACTAATTGGTAAGTGAAATACTTAATAAACAAATTCTCAATAAAGAGACAATAAAATAAACGGTTAAGCGAAATGATAATATTATATAAGTAGGGAGAGAAGGGGAAAAAATAAAAGAATTGAAACAGTAGACAAACGTATGGTAGGAGAATACAAATTGCAGTTAAATATTTTTCATAGATTTGTTTCTTCATGTAGATTTTTTTCTTGGAGAGAATCCTTGAAAATAATTTGCTATTAGATGGCAGCACGGTTGTTTTCCGGATCACTCGCTTTGGTTAGGAAGAATATTTCGCGGGTGTCCTGAGTTTATGGGTAATATTTCCCAAGATTCTTTGGTGCCCAATCGTCAGGTGTAGAAAATTCAGTTTATCGCGTAGAAATTTTGGTGGCATATCGATTAAGTGAGGAGCGAGAGAGAAGAAAAGATATTTTTTTCCAAAAAGAAATGTCACCTAGCACGGTTTTTACCGATCCCGTTGTTGACATACTCATACGGGAAAATGGCGCAAGAGAGTGTTGCATTGATTTAACTCATGTTTTAAGGTTTATTTATTATCGACAAATTCCATTGTGTATCTGCATTCCTACGACATGAATTCGGGATAAATAATAGACAATCTAAATTAAACTTTCTACCATGATCGTTCTTTAATAATACATTAAACATCTGAAGAGAAATGTATAAAATAACGACGAACCGGTTTACGCGGTAAAAATAATAAATAACACATTTCTTTTTATTGCGTTGCGTTGCCTTTCATTCGCTAGGAGGTATTCCCTCTAAACTATACATTCCTTTCGACGATTTAACTTCTAGTTGATGGAGATTTCTTTGTTGTTCGATTGTCAAAACGATAACGTTATATTTTCTAGCTATACGCCGGTAAGAAATTATGTCAACACAGGATGCAGAATCAACGGGTTTTGTCACGAGTACTATTACCAATCAGGATGAAACCGGCACAGTTTTGCACGAATTATCGGTAAATACAACTGTTGTTGTTATTTCTTGACAATACATGAAGTTTTTATTATTGTAAAATCATATCGTGTCTTTTATTTAGAATAATCCAGCTGACGTTTTGGAATGTCTATCGGTAATGATCGATGAGGGGAATCTGAATAATGTTCAGGTACAAGAACTTATTCTGGATGAACAGCTGCTTGGTACGACGCTGACAGCAATAACATTACCCGATGGAACCCAAGCATACTTGACAAACAACTTTAGCGACGATGGTTTGTCTTATGTTTAATTAGATACATTTATATAAATAAGACTATGAATAATTCATTGTATACATATAATTATATTATATGTGCATTTTAACTGCAGAATCTCCGCTTAATGGGGATGCAGCTTTGGAACTGGAAAATGGAGAAACTATTTTCCTTAGAGATCTATCCGAGTTTGCGGATGGTAAAACTCTTCAATTGGAGGTAGATCCAGCATTTTTGGATCAAAATACATCCATAGATATTGCATCTGTAGAAAATACATATCCACAAGTAGAATTTATTAATGGAACAGCGTATGTGGTTGCTAGTCATTTAAATGTTGCCGATGACTTATGGGAGATAGAAGACGGAAAATTAAAAAAGAAAGAGCCTAAAATTTTAATGAACAAATTATCTGAACAAAAAATACGTCACCCTTGTCCTAGAGAGGGATGTACAAAAGTGTATAGTACACCGCATCATCTCAAGGTGGTATATTCTTTATTTTACAATTATAAGAAATTGGAGAATATACTCGAGAAAATACTTATATAAATATTTATGTTAGGTGCATGAACGCTCTCATACTGGTCAGCGACCATATATATGCTCAGATACAGAATGTAGAAAAAGTTTTTCCACTGGTTATAGTTTGAAAGCTCATTTACGGACGCATACTGGAGAAAAGCCATATAAATGTCCTAATGATGCATGCAACAAAAGTTTTAAAACATCGGGAGATTTATTAAAACATGTTAGAACGCATACAGGTGAACGTCCTTTTGTGTGTCCATACGAAGGATGTGGTCGATCGTTCACAACAAGTAATATTAGAAAGGTAAAAAAGTACAAAATAAGGAGGGAGGGAGTATTTTCCAAAATATATAACTGATAAATGTCGAAATAATTCAGGTACATGTAAGAACACATACCGGCGAACGTCCATATAAATGTATGCAGCCAAAATGTGGTAAAGCCTTTGCTAGTGCGACAAACTATAAGAACCACATACGTATACATTCTGGGGAGAAGCCATATGTATGTAACATAGAGAATTGTGGAAGAAGATTTACAGAATATTCTAGTCTTTATAAACACCATCTTGTTAGTATGAATTTAACAATATCATCAAGTAAAATATGAAAAATGTATAAATCTTGTTCATTCTTTACATAGGTTCATACACAAGAAAAGCCATTTGAGTGTAATATTTGTTTTAAGAGATACAGACAAAGTAGTACACTTGTAATGCACAAAAGAACAACGCATCCATTAGTCGATAGCGATGACAGTACTGATATTTTTTTACAAGATACTTTAGATGGATCTACTCAAAGCAAAAATAAAGAAAAGCATAGTACAATAATAGAAAATGTAAGCAATATATTATTATAACATACATGTAGCATTCGAAGATTTAACACAGACTGTATTATATTTATTTTCTTTTAGAAATTAACAATCGAAAAGGAAACGCAGCTTCAAGTTTCTAAAGTTTCTGAAAATATAACAGATTCTGAACCACAAATTTTATTAGTTAGCGATCCATCTCACATAGCTGCTTTACAGGTTTGTATTTTAAGGAATGAAAGTTGATACTAAAACTTTATTTTATCTAATCTAAAAAAGTTGAAATATCTATTGTTTCTTTTTTTGTTTAATGAGAATACAAGTGCATAGTTATAGTGCTACTTTTTGTGCAGCAAATTGGATTGGATGATAGTTTTGTTGATCCTTCAATAGACACAACCTATGAAGGATTAAACATAAAGATCGAAGACATAGAGTTCGGTTGGAATTAATGCATTATCATCAGGGAATTTTGACTTAGTATAAACTCTATACCAATACAGTGGAACCTTCTTACGAAATATCATATTTACCATGGTACATCGTAAACCATATAAAAGACTATAGAAAGTTGCAGATATTGCATAAAAGATTTAATAAGTATTTAGAGTTTAGTTGATAAATTGTTATAAATAAAGCCACTTAAGTGTATAAAGTCTTAACAATGAGCAAATGACAAAAGTCAGGTAATTAATCATATTTATTAGCTTAAGAAAAAGGTACCATCAATTGTGAAGTTAAATAGTTATACACAAAAACAGCATTATTATAACATAGTGTGTATATATATATATATATATACACATATATATATAATATATATGTATAGGACTGTAGGTATGTAAATGACACTTTATTCGATCATTGTTTTCCTTATTATTATCGTTTAAATGAAAGGGCACACTCAATGCACATTCGTAGTATTAAAGAGAAAAGATAAGAAATGAAAGTAAAAAAACATTGCATATTATATATCATATAGTAAAATAATTATCATAATATGTATGTTCTTTGTTAGATAAGCAGTCGTAGCGGAAAAACGATGAAATGAATTGATTATATATTGAAATTTATTTCGTTCATCTTTTGATAAATAAGACTTACAATTAGATTTGGATTACATATTGATTGCATTATTAATGAATATTTATAATTTAAATAAAAATAGATTTATTTATGCTATATAACTGTAAATTAATCTATATAATAGCTGTTAAAGCAAACGAAATCGGTCGTGTAAGTATATCGTGGATAGAACTTGCACAAAACTAAAAGGAACGTCGTTTTTGCATTAAAACGACAATGAACTTTCGAGTTCGAACCTCTATGTAAAAAAAAAAAACAAAGGAAAAACGTAACTGTAAATTTAAATACAAATTATAATGTTTCATCTTTTTATTTCGTTGAAAAAATATTATAATAATGCAAAATAAATATATATATTACTTAAAAAATATATTTTGAAAATTACTTGATCGCATGAAAATATTTTGTGCAGTTTCTATTATTCAATTATGAATACTTAAGTCTAGCATACTGTGTGATAAAAGAGAGATTTATGAAATTATTCTCTAGAAATAAATTAAAATTTATTTAGAATGTTACGTGTGTGCAGGTGTTAAAAACAGAAAAGCAGAAAAAATCTTTGTAATTACATTATTTTTTAATAAATCGTTCAGTAATTTTACACTGTAACAATTGTTTTTCCATTTTTCCAATGTAAAAAATTACTTTGCTCTACTTATATAATTATCAGATCGCGGTAGCATTTGTGATATAAACTAACAGAAGTTTGAACGCGATAATACGATCGACAAATCTATATATTATCGATAAATGCCTCGAAGTTGTAAAATTTTGTTCTTAAGCGTGGAAATTGTTACTGTCGAGATACAGAGAGAAGATATAAATACGAGCGTCAGTTATAAGAAGAAAAAAGGAGAACATCTACAATTATTATCACCACTTTACTAACTAAATAACGCGTTTAACGTATCGCAAGAATGTGTGCTTCGATGTTCGTCGTTGTTATGTAGAATAACACTTGTACACTAATCGAATTCCTCACAGTTTAGGGAATGTTGATTACGTCATTTCGATTTATAACATTACAAGTCGTTTATATTTATTTTCATAAAAAAATTATTTAATTAAAATAAAATCTAACGGCTCGTGAAAGAATAAAATTTAACGAAAAAATTTGATAAGCTGGAAGAATATAGTTACTGGAAGAAAACGAATCCAAATTAAATTATAAATAACTTAACGTTTAATAACATTTTTTTGATACGGATATAAAATAGGAATTAATCAAGATATAAATATGATAATATAATAATCAGCCAAATGATTTGATAATGATATTCTATATACAAAATGGAATAATGTAACGAAATCAATCAGATATTGTTTGTTGGTAATAAATTTTTAGTAAATCATTATAGTGGTAATCATAATTATAGAACAGCCGTGGATAGATTGAATCGTTAGTGATATCGGCTTGAAAGATGCGTTTTATAAAATTTGGAATAGGAAGATGTTAATAGTCACGATGGTCAATGTTACGATTTCTCATCCTCCCACCGTTGGAGAGTTTTTTCAATGGTTCACGACTCGATCAACGAATAGTCTTCGTTCGGCCAAGTACTCGAATGCGTTGGTCGGTACTAACGTACGAATTCGATCTCTCTTTGTCACGCGTTTAATCACTAAAATGGACAATTAATGAATTCTTCAGATACATTCTCTGAGATACGCGTGCATGGGTACATATCGTATATACAAATGTACCGTATGACCGATCGATCTTCGTCGTCAAGGATGTGAGACTTTCTCTAGTGTATTTATGAGGTATGAATTTCAAGAAAATAAGATGAAAATTCATCGTTTTGATCCTTGTATGATTTATTTACGTGTACGTCTGTGGTGTGTAAATCAAATTATTATATATGATCTTTCGATCCGATGTAGCACGGCAAGTCGAACCACGAACGTTAAGCCAATTGTATAAATCGCTCGAATCATTGAATCCGTTTCAAACCCTTCCCTTTGCGTTACGTAAAAAAAGAGAAGAAAGAAAAATTAAATCTCACGATGAGATACGGTTTATTTTATGGTCATCCAACCTATCGTTGAGTCGACGGCACACAAAATTTGATAATTGTCGAAATTTGAGCGAATTGAGCACTTGGGACATTCACTGAACAATTCAAAAATGTATATTTCTGAAACAAAAAAACATATATTATTAGCATTATTTGTGTAAATAAATATAACGCGATGTAAAAGCGTGTAAATCGCGTAGCAGCTCGATTGTGTTATGAAATATCTGTAAAATGTCTCTCCCCCTATCTCTCTCGCTCTTTATTCTTGCGATAAGAAAATACTTTTTTCAATCTACACGCATTATCATCAGCCGATCTCGATGGAGTGCTATGTGTACGGAGAGATAATCCGATAAATCCAGGATACTTTAATGGGACTTTGTCTTCGACCACCCAAGTAGAATTAAGTTCTGCTCCCAACTATAGAGGAGAAACTACTATTCGAATCCTTACGAATCTTCCGAGTAATTCTTTGCTTTATGATTATAAAAAGACGATAATCATCGTCTTTGCGATCCGATAATGGAGCGCCTTTGATATGTTAAATAAACCTCATTTTTCTTTTGATTGTGCGATCTCTTTTTACGATTTGTTTGTATTTCTTTTTATGCCGAAGCATATCAACAAAATTCAAATAAATATATCTCGTAATGATAAATTCGCGAATGACTTTTCAAAATGTCCTTTTAAGATTCTTACCGATTACAATATTACATGAAATGCATACATTTCTATATAATAATAGCCGATGAAAGTGGGAGATCAATTTCTAACGTAAGAAACGATACATTACATGAAAATATGTTGGATAACGTGTCAGAGATTTATCACATGATTACGGATAATAAATTAAATTCAATCTTTAAAAGAGAATCTATCGACGATGTTAATATCTATTCGATGGAATTGATCGATAGGGAGAAGATAAGCTATAATAGGTTCAATGTATAAGTAGTAAATGAATCGAAAAAAAGAATTAGATGGATATTTCAATATTTTCATCGTAATCATCTCGTTCTTCCTCCCTTTAAGTAAATCTAACGATAAGTTATATTCTTCATTAATTTTTCATTTAGAAATGTAAACTGTAGAAAAAAAGCACTTCTATTCATTTCAATAGTTTATTTAAACATATTTTATTAGTATTTCAAATAGTCAATGAGCAATGTTGTGTCAGAATTCGAATCAAGATTGTGCATTGATACAAGGTTCATACTAATATTTTATTATAAATAAAGACCATTTAAAAGAAAAAGAATATGACAGTTTTTGAATTAATCGATACTTATATTGATATTTTATTACTGAGAAAGTAGATTTCACCCCCTAGTCAAGTAGACGTCAAGTAGATCTTTCATTCCTAATCGTTCAAAAAGATATACAAAACATCCTAATCGAATATGCTAATCAACGATCGAGACGTATTTACGGTTATCATTATCGCTTTTCTATAAATACAGTCGACAATTGATTCTTTTCGCGAATTGACATATACGATACCATACCTTTCTTTGCATATTTCATTCATCCATTTATTTGTAGTTTTTATCCTTCGTCCTATTCTGGATAATTCAATGAACTATTTCGAGTATAAATACATAACGCGATTATAAAATGCACATATACATATTCGTATTTGAACATTTCGTTATATGCATTTAATAATAAGAATTTAAGTTTGCGCATGATTTTGCATGTATTACGACTTGATCAAATGTACGTCTGTGTAATTATTGGTGATTAACGAGTGAAACGAGCTTTTTCAAATTTCACCATTAACGTATCGCATAGAGATAAATTGCGATCGGTAAATATGGCATTTTTGTTTCCTTATTTTTATCTTTTTATAGCATTTACATTTTGTAATATCCGCTATTGATAATTGAAAAAAAGAAAAAAAAAAAAAGAGGAAAAGTTATATTATCGACGATGCACGGAACATTTAGCGAAGAAGCAAGCCGTCGTATATTTATTTTATAATTTACGATCTTCCACGTGATCCAGAATGTAATTTAGTTTTCTTTTTTTTTTTTCCTTTTTTAACATAAGACTCACGTTCTCTTTCTTCATGCACGAAGGGGAGAACGAAGTATCCAATGTCTTCTTTTGTACACCATATATCACTATGTACATACAGTAGTGAAACGCGAATTACGTCGTGTGTCGGCATAAACCAGCAATGCCCACATTGCTACCTTTGGCAAACAGAGATCGATAAGTAAGATGGAGCAAACAAGGATACTTACAGAGTTCGCCTCATAAATCGTCATTGCGAACGTAACTGTTCGCGGAGATCTCAAACATATGTACAACGCGCTACGAAAGCATCGTATTGCTTCTATTTGCAAGGACGACATTTCAAACCTAATCTTCAATACCTCGATTGTACTTCTTCATTTTTTATCATTGTAATAAAGATGATCAAGCAAAGTTGATAATCTTGCAATTAGGAACCAAATGCCGAACATGATTTACAAAGATTCTACCTGATAACGATTTTCTATTGCATCTTTGTTCTCTTCTTGTTTTTGAACAAGAACGATGACGCATAAAATTAATTCGAATACTGTCTCATTGTTTTCACGATCGTTTGATATAGAATTTATTATGAATTATGAAACATTACGAGGACGGGGCATCTCTTGTTTGCGCCGCAAATCATCCTGCCGTTCAAAGAGAAATCGATCAATTTTTCTTATTTTACCGCGTTCGACTATTCCTTCGTTTGCATAAATGATGACTATAAAAAAAAAAAAAAAAAAAAAAAAAAGAAAAGAGAACGAACGCATCGTTCTAAGGGAACATTTATTACTTTTATGAAGCTTCCGAGCGACGGTAGAAACCAGTCACGTTTCGAGGTAAACGCGTTTTAAACCGAAACGAACACAAATTTGTCCATTTTGACTCGTCCATTATCATTGATGTCTCGAGAAAGAGAAGAGCGAGATTTTCCGGGATTGAAAAGGCTGCCAGCGTAATTGGCTCCTTTCAAAACGACGCCCTTTTGTCGCCGGATAAAGCTCTCTGTTCTCCATTAACGAGCGCAACCTATTGTCAAGCAGTACTCGCACGTATATTGCCTCCGATTATTCTCTGATCTCCTCCTGACTAAAAAACCAGTGAGTATATATATATACTTTTAAAATGCAAACCCGTACGTAATTAAATACATCAGAAAATATAAATTTGCTATTGTCTTTAAACTAAATGCACCGATTTTCCGAATGACCAATGAACACGATAGTTTTATGCATGCATGCATGCATGTATAGTAATGTTATACGTATAACGAGTTCTTCTCTTTCTCTCTATCTACCTATCTACCTACCTACCTACCAATCTATCTATCTATCTATCTATCTATCTATCTATCTATCTATTTGTCTGAAACATAACGAATTCATAGCAGCAACGCGATCGAGCATCATTAGGTTTTTGTCAAAGAACAAACGCGACAGACATTTGTCGCAAAAGCTTCGAAATAAAAGTTACTTCGGATCGCGAAATAATCGAAATTCGGAATTATCCTAGACATGATTTGTCCTCGTGGGATAGTCGAGCAACGATTACAAATTTTCTTTATCGTTGTCGGCAGGATCCGAACTAGAGGATTGGACTTTGGAAGATGGCGTTTTCGGGAGAAGCCGAGAAAAGGCGGGAAAAGGTAAATAATCGCAAATAGGATAGGGTCAAAGAAGATAGGATTAGAACGATAACGTCCACCTTGCGCGGCTTTGCGATCAACGTTGATAATCGGACCGTCGTCGTCTGGTGAAGTCCGTCAAAGAGAAGCAAACCACGTGAGAGGTCTTCAGTTGGCTCTGCGAACGCAGAGTCAAGAGGTTCAGCGGACAAAGAAAGACAAAGCTCCATATAATAGACGCGCGTGTGCGAACGACAGAGGGAGAGAGAGAGAGAGAGAGAGAAAGGAAGAAAATGGCTACGCTGACCCTAGATCATCGTTATTGTCCTAGAAAACGAGTTTGAACCTCGAGAATTATCAAGTGTCTAGTTCCTCGTGACCGACAACTACGAATTGACCAATTCCCATCAACCATTTCTCCTTTTCTTTTTTGGAGAATGTCGAAGAAACAATGGATCGTACTTCTCATGTTGTTCCTAGCTTATCTCCTTTTGGGTGCTTCTATCTTCTATCACATTGAGAGCAAACTGGAGATCGAACACATCGAACTTGCCAGACAAGAACGCATCGAGATTAACGGTAAGAGAGAAATAGGGACAACTACATTCTTTTGATCCGATTTTGATCATTATCTCAGATGCTATTTATTCATTTACGCGCTCGTCACACATTATTAAACGAAATGAATTTTGAAATCGTACGCGACGTTGTTCATTCGACGTTTCGGTCGTGTTCAGCATGCACATACGCATACATAGGAACATAGATATTCTCGGTTTCTTTCGCAAGGGTAATTATTTTGTAGAGACAACACGTTTAGGCCACGTCCACTCGTTAAATTTGCTCTCCGTAAGAGGGTAATAACGTTTCTTTATTCGTTGCCACGTATAAACGCGTTTTTTAACCGAGTCATACAAAAATATAATTTGCGCTCAGTCGTTCGGTCTTATCATCGTAAAAGATTCATCTACGATAAAGAAAAAAAAGAGAAAGAAAGAGAGAAAAAGAAACTTATCGAGTATTCTTGGAAACGCGCGAATGTCCAAATAGTAATATTAGAAAACACATAGTTCTCATTCGAATTCATTTACTTTTTCAAAAAAGAAAAAACAAATAAACGAATAAATATATAATATAAATGTGCAATTTATCGAAAGGTACAAAAAGTCAAGGTAAAGTTAAAATTTTCCGCTTACGATGTTAAAATATTAACGTAAATACATAACACAAATATACAGATATTTACGTAGAAGTAAGATTAAGAAAAACGACTTACGTCTACGGGATAAGTTTTCCAATAGCTTTTTCGATAAGAGATAAGCGATACCGAACAGCTTCCACGTATTACGATATTACTTTTAAACGTAAATTTGTGAGAGTATCGATTAGTTACAATTGTGTATGTATCGTCTTGTCAATATACATTAATTTACGAAGCTAACGAGTACATACTTACCACTCGTATATATTAGGCACATCGTTTGAAAATTCCTTCGAATATTTCTATTCCAAATTGAGCAATAAAGAGAACACTTTTCGTCAACGACGACCGCTTCCGTTTGATTATGCACTAAAACTCTCCCATGTGTCATAATACTGTTGCTAGTTTCGGCCATACGCGCCTACGTACACTTAATAATAAAAGTATAAGCCATAGGCATAAATGACAACATATTAATTGTAAGCTGCGTTACATATCATTATGTTCCAGTTTCTACCGGACTCGGGCTTATTCGTTAATTAAATAATGACACGGTCGTTTGACTGAATTGTGCACGTCGCGACTTCGCCTACGAAAATTTTGCATAAGACGTAAAGGATACTTTAAATTCATTTTCAAATCGATAGGCACATCGATATTTCCTATACATTTTTAAATTACATCAAATTACGAATCTGTTACAATTGTTTATTTTTTAGTATGACTCAGAAAAAGAGAAAAAATTGAGTTCAAATATTCTTCGTAATGTTGCTTTTCTTCTAGAACAAAAGTTAGACAATAACAGAACTGATACCTTAAGGTATTACATCATAGGAATTTTAATGAAAGTAGCATAAGAAGCTGACAGATTACGGATTACACAATGGTCACGACGTTTTACGGCGTTTTACGGGCTCAAAGATGATCCGTGATATCATTACCGTTTTCGTATTCATGCCGTGCCCCGAAAGTATTGTTAAATAGAGAAAAAAAGAGTTGCATTAGAGCGGACGCTATATAATGTTTCAGTGTTAGTGTCAGTATTTGTCATATAAGCAAAATCCCAATTTACCTCTCAGTAACCTGTATTTCGTATTACGTGTACCGAATTTCTAATCTATTCAAATTAACTTTTTCCATTTTAACATTGTTCTCTAATCCTTTTATAGCGCCAGAAAACTTTCAAATCTCATTTTATTTTTTAATAAACTAAATTAATTTGCTCAACTAGAAGTATTAAATACCTGCTACTTATCCAATCCAAGTCAATAAAACATTTTTAAAGATTTGTTTATCAATATTTCAAATCAATAATAAAAAAAACTTTGCAAATTTATCAAATAATCAAAAAATAATAAGAATACCAGTCGATTATTAGGAACGCGACTAGCACACGTTCGATTGTGGTCACATCAGATAATTCGAATAAAATGTTCATTTTGTGTCAATCATTTGTCCATCGTTTAAGAACAAATCCCTTCTTTTTCTTGGACAAATAATAAGGGTGACGTAAAAACAATCAGGAATAACGATTATTCTCGTTTAGTGACAGTTCCTATTGGTGTAATCCCTAAAATATTACGATTCGATAGAAACAAAATAAATAGAGAGAGAGAGAGAGAGAGAGAGAGAGAGGAATGAACGGACATGAATAAATGAACGAACAAATGCGAATATGTACAATATGCAAGATTGCACGAAGAAAAAGTCCGATTTAATTGAGGCAAACGGCCGAGTAACTAGCAAATATCGGCTGATAAGATAATGGTTGACAATTATCTCAAAGATAGTCTCATTTAAAGCGCTAGTCGTGCTACCCTGCGCGAATGAATCGAGAGGAATGCGAATAATGAGAGGACAAATTGAGAGGACTAATTCCGGGAGTTATTTGTGGATATTCGTACAGATCCTTTATGCTATCTATGCTGTATGACCAATTGGTTTTTTTTCTTTCACGAGAAGATTCCTATTCGAAATACGTATGGGTGCTCGACAACGTGTCTCATCAAAATGACATCGTAAAAAGCATTGATGAAGAAATTGCGATAAATAACTTGTAAAGCTTACTTCTTCGAAAAAATTCATATAATCGCCGTGTATCGCTTTAACATATCACTTTATCGTGGATAATTTCAAATGTTTCCTGCAACTTTTTTCTTTTTCTCAATAGATAAACGAGAAAAAAAGAAAATATTATCTAGCGTGAAGAGGATTTACGATTGATCAAAGGATCAAAAAGACTTTCATTTGTTTACGTAATCGCGTAACTACCGTTGATCGAAAGAAAAACACGATTAGTGTTATCGAAAATTGCTTTTATTTGCAAGTTAATAGAATAAAGCTTTGATAATTTTTCAATTGTTTCCAGCTTTGCTTCGCAAACACTACATTCCCAGTCTTACGCACAATCAGCACGAGATCTTCGCACGATTGACAGAGTATTGCGGTAAATCGGTTCACAATTACACGGACGGCGAAAATGACCCATTGAAATGGGACTTTTACAACAGTTTCTACTTTGCTTATACCGTCGTCAGCACCATAGGTGAGTCGTAGCGTAGCGACAGCTTTCTTTCTCTCCAAAAGAAACAATTCCTTATCCTATTATCGTCGATCGTATTCAGGTTACGGGAATTTAGCACCAACCAATATGCTGAGTCGTATATTGATGATATTCTACGGATTGGTCGGTATACCGATGAACGGAATTTTATTGTCTCAGTTGGGGGAGTTTTTTGGTCATGTCTTCGTAAGGGCTCACCGTAAATATAAATCCTACAAGCAACACCAGAACAATGACTACGCGAAGAAATTAACCCCACTCGAAACGAGAAAAGCTGGTCTCGCGGCACAAATCTTCATGTATCTCATTCCCGGATTCGTCATGTTCATCTTCTTCCCGGCTTTTCTATTCTCCCATTACGAGGGTTGGACTTACGACGAAGCTGTTTATTACGCTTTCGTAACTTTGACAACGATTGGCTTTGGAGATTACGTGGCAGGTCAGGAGAAAATCATTTTTCAATGAAATAAGCATTATTTGCTTAGCAACTAAATCCTAAAGTTTAATATCGAACAAACAAAACCATAGAATTAATTAACAGCATTATCGGTTCAATCAATATGCAATCTAGAATACCATTAAACTGATTATCTCTCCGTGACAATTTGCACGCATAATCGTAAAGAGAGAACGCAATGAAAAAGGAACAAAGCGGCAAATAACGCGGCAGGCTCGTACGGGTCAATTGATGTTACTTGATGCTTTCAATTCTACAAGATTTTATGTCTGATAGTCGATTCGTAACTTATGCGTTATTTCGCAATAAACTTTTCTATGCTGATAATGCTGTTCGAAGCACATATTTTCTAGCATTATCTAACGCTAATTGCTAAAATCATATTTCTCTGTTGATACGTGCACCCAATACAGAGAGAAAAAAGAATGTCTTATCGGTAAGTAATCGTCGACGAATCATCAAATACCTGTAGAGTGATAGGGAGAACGGAACAATATCTACGTATTTGCTAACACGCTGTCGTGTTCACAGGACAAGACAACGCAAAGGGTAGTGGATTCTTTTTCGTAATGTACAAAACCTTCCTCATTATATGGATCTCCTTCGGATTAGGCTACATCGTCATGATCATGACTTACATCGCCCAAGGTATGCGCAGCAAGAAAATCATCAGAATCGAGCACAAATTGGCAATGAATCTAAAACACACGCAAAGCAAAATATGGAATGAGTTTAACAAAGAGATCAACTACTTCCGAAGAGTTTTTAATGAATTGCAGCTTTCCAAAGTCAAAGTACGTCTCATTTACGAGATGAATCGTTTTCTCACAGAATCCTTAATATTACAAATGGTAAGTTAACATTTACCATTTACCGTTTATATTTCAGAGGGTTTACGTCGATGAATATAACTACGAAACACCGCCAACCAAATTTTCACGAAGTAACAGTTTCCCAGATCTCAGGAAGTTAATATATGGCGGATTTGAAGCCCCAGCACCTTTGCATCCTCGACGTCGTGCCAATAGCGAAGTAGTACCCTTGGTATGTACAAGATATACGTATCTTACGCATTCATTATTTTAGATTGTTACTTTACGAGTTATATATCATTCAGGAACCATTAACGCGAGTGGTGTCGGAAACCGATCTCCAACGAATCGACAAAACGGCTACGTTCGCTGCTCATGCAATGGTACAACCAGCGGAATTGTTAGCAAGACTGGTAAACATCCTGGGCTATATTCCACCGCCTGATGATGCTAACGATACTTCCGATTGGGATCAGGAATATAAAAACAAAGAAGACGCGAGAAAGACGGGAATTGAAGGATTCAACGAAAAAGATATTCTTAATAAGCAGAACACTTGGAACGAGTCAAGCTGGAGAATCGGTACAGATAGAATTTCTGGCATTAAGCCGCGATCGAGAGCGGCTAGCGAGGTCAGATTGGATATGAGCAAAAATGATTCTAACGTTCACCAACAAAACGGAGAATGGACTTGGTCCGGGCCGACTGCCTCGAAGAAAATTCAAGAACTGATCAAAACTCGTAGGACTGGTCTTTCTGGTATCAAGGACAGTAAATCCTACAAATTTCCTTCGATCGCGTTACCCAAATCCGTACCAAAGAATCTCTTCTCTCCGTGGAGGCGACAATCCTCAAACAAGAAGATACCGGACACCGAACAGTCCATTCAAAAGGGTATTCTTCCTGATATCGATTTTCAAGCAGGACAAAATTATTCATCGATTACAGCACATTCCGATTTGTATTCTTCCAATTTGGACGACGTGGATGAATCTACGACAACGTCGAGACATCCATATTACACTCACACAGGCGCCAACTTACCCAGTTTAATGGAGAGCAATAATATTTTGGAGGAGACATCTTTGGCCGATTTTCTACGAGCCCTTACTGTTCTTCACGCTAAAATTAGCACTGTCCCCAGTGATTACTCGAATATTCGTAAACCTCAAAGGAAAATGGGTACCGCCTCGTTGACCCCGCCTAAACTTCCGAGTCTCTTCACCTTATTCTCGCAATCTGCAGACAGTCAAAGTCATAGTCAGAGCAATCAAAGCACGATGACCGCCGCGTCATCGTTACAAGCCAATAGAAGATACTCTTTGAGACCTAGCGAATACTCGCCAGCATCTACGCCGTCGTATGAAAGACGTGGAAGTGTGATGAGTCCTATTAAATCGAGAAGATTTTCTTTGAGACCCGTTGCTACTCCGACTAATACGCCACCGGAATATACAGCATCCTACTTGGTGAGTAGACCTATTGATTTTATAATTAGACATTTCAATTATGTTAGACGTTAACCAAAAAAAATGATTATAGAATTCACGAATACACGATGAGCAAAGATCACAATTTTCCTCTCTGACGGATGCTTTTATCTACGAATCTGCGAAAAAGCCCCTGGTACAAATGGAAGGAACTCCGGGTGTTTCTTCGCCCATTGCAAAGATCTCAAATGTTCGTCGTTACTCTTTACGACCAATGACCCAAATACAGCAACTATCCAGCTCGAATCAACAAACTCAAGCCACTAAAGCTCTACCGCGTTGGAAGGCTGGGATGTTACAACGACAGATTGGTAGAATGAGCGTTCGTCGTCGGGTACGAGCCTTCAGTTTAAGCGACGTGCAAGCGGACAAATCTGAGAAATCTACTGGTCTAAGTCCATTAGCGATAGATGATAATGGTAAACTAGTAACTTCTATTGTTTCTTCGATTAAACCAAGTGCTTCTGCAGTTCAGAAGACCGTTACGATAGTATCGCCAACGAAAGATGAAGTTCTTCGATCGAACAGCAACGAGTTGACCTCCGTAAAAACAACTTTCAATCCTTTCATTCCCTCTTTTGCAACATCAAAAACATCCGATAACAATTCTACTGTTGACAGTTTTCCATTTAGAAACGTTCAAAACGATGCTATAAACACCAATATTGTGTTAAACACTTTACGAGCAACGTCTGAATGCGAAGTGGACTATAATAATGATAGCTCGAAACGCGCGAAGTCAAAGAGCAATGAAAGGAGTGTAGAAAATATTAACAATTCCGAAGGGATGGGAGAGAAATTCATTTTCCGTAACGATTCGGTCGGTCCTAAAGAAATTTTAAATGACGAATTGGCATTGTCCAAAGACGTATTGTCGAATATTAAAGACAATTCAGAGAACGGTACGAAATCGACGGTTCGTTGTACTACGAATAAGAAACCAAGGATATCCATAGATTCTTATAAAACTTCGTTAGATGTTAAAATAGAGAAACCCAGCGTAAATCCATTTTTACAGTATCAAGCTACTACTAGTGGTTCTCAACGCGGAAACACTAATCTCACAGAAGTTAAAGTAGAAAAGCCGAATGAAACGGAACAATTCGTTCAGAGAAAGTTGTCGGCCGAAGCAAGAAAACCATGGGAAAAAGGATAATTATTTATTTGTTTATATATATACAAAAATATATATATATATAGAGAGAGAGAGAGAGAGAGAGAGAGAGAGAAAGAATAATTAAATAGATTATATTCGTAAAGGAATGATTATCTTCCATCAATTTTTCAACTTTAGAATCTTTTTCATCTACCAAGATCTTTTTCGTTAGAATTTCGTCAACGTCACTAAATTAAAAATTGTCCAACATATCGATAATTTAAATCAATTAGCTATAACATTTAAAGCATATTAATCTACTCAAATCGTACGAGACTTACGATTAGTCTTTACTTTAATTCATGACAATCTTGAAAGTTGCTTTAATAAAAAAATGAATGAGATAACGATGATATAATAATATAGAGGTAATAAATAATTCACGCTGATCTTAGCAATATTTAAGCGCTATCTTACTCTCCAGACGTGGCGTGATTATTGATTACATGTCTTATAAGTTTGATTACTCGTAAATCTAAGTTATTATATTTTAAATGATTAATTACTTTTCATTTGTAACGTCTATAATATAACAGATAACTGTGATAAATTAACTATAATAAATAAAACTTTAATTATACATTGTATATAATATATATCATCGTGTGTGTATTATAGTACTCGGTATTTATTTAAACTGTAAAAAGTCTTTTAAACGACAACTGCTTATTGTAATACAATAATAATAATAATAATAATAATTTGACAAGATTTATTAAGACGATTTTAGTCTTTATTAAGTTGTTAGAAATTTCATCATACGAATTGTATAAAAGAAGATATAAACGGGTTACAAAAAATTCATATTTTTTTATTTAACATATTTGATAAATTATAAAGTTTTCTTTGTCCATATATTTTGTATTTGGTAGAGATGTATTATAAAAAAATGACTATCTTTATTAAATAAATACATACGTGACTTATTACTGTAAATAATGCAAATGTTTATTTATGTACTTCGGATAGAAAAATTCATTGATCGGTTAAAATGCAATGTACACATTTATTGTTGATCTAACTATAAAAGAGAGAAAAAAAAATAAATAATAATAATAATTAGCCTGCTATATTCAGTTTTGTAGTCGCTTTCGAATTTCGTCGATAAGTTGATCTCTTGGAATTGGAACTTCCTTTCGCGTAGTAACTTCTCTTAAGGTGACTTCTCCTCTCGCTAACTCTCCTTCACCAAGTATTATCGCTAAAGGAATACCATATTCTTCGCAATGCTGCAATTGTGCTAAAAGTTTTGAGTTTTTTTTGTATGCTTGTTCAGCCTTGATACCAGCATCCCAAAGATCCGACAGCACACGCATTCTTTCTTCGTGTAAATTTTTCTGAGCACTAGCTACAAACACTTCTATTTCTGTTGTTCGAATTTTCACACCCTCATTTGCCATTTTAGCTTCTAAGACACTAAAAATGCGTTCGACACCTAACGATACACCTACGCAAGGCACAGTTTTCTTCTTACTGTCAAACATACCGACTAAATTATCGTAACGACCGCCTCCAGCTATGCTGCCAACACCAACGCCATCTCCTTAAAAGAAAACAAAATAATACAATTGGTAAAAAATTCATTAAGGATCAATCATTGAAATAGCAAACATACCAGTTAAAATCGCTTCATAAATTACTCCAGTATAATAATCAAGTCCTCGGGCAAGACTTAGATCAAAAACTATCTTGTTTATAACTTTATAAATGGTACAGTACTTTAATAGTAATTCCATAGAATCTAAACCAAATATAGCAGACTTTTGCTTCATTAGATTTTCATCTTGTCTTAACTCTGCTATCAAGTCAACACCTCCAGACTTAGATACATAATTCCAAATTTTATTAGCAGTTTTTTCGTCTAGTCCTTTTTCTTCTATCATTTCTTTCTTTACTTCTTCCCAAGGTGTTTTGTCTAACTTATCAACCGAAGAACAGATGGTTCTAAATTTATCTTGAGGAACGCCACACGTAGCAAATATTGCATCGAGTAATGATCTATGATTTAATTTAATTATAAATTTTCCTAAGTCCAAAGATTCCAATGCATCTGAGACTACACGAATACATTCAGCATCGGGAAGCATAGGATCATATTGACCGGCAATATCAAAATCCTTAAAATAGAAATAAATATAATGTGTTATATATATATATATATATATATGATATAAACATATTACAGTCAACATTACAGGTACTTACACATTGATAAAATTCTCTGTAACGTCCTTTCGTTGTAGCTGGATTATCCCTTCTATAAACTTTGGCAATATGATATCTTTTGATACTAGATATTTTTCCCATAGCTAAATATCTAGCAAAAGGTACTGTTAAATCATATCTCAGAGCAAGTATTTCACCTCCCTGATCTTTCAAATCATAAATCAATTTAGAATCTTCTCCATATTTTCCTGTTAAAACGTCCTAATTTTCATAAAAAATAAAATATTGTATTAATAATTAAAATATGTGTTTATTATATGTCAATATTTAATGATAAATATTTCTACGTACCTTTAATTCAAAAACAGGCGTATCTATAGTTTCAGCACCATGACGTTTAAATACTGATATTATTTTCTCAAGAACTCCCATTCGTAATGACATATGTTCAGGATTATAGTCCCTCGTACCTTTTGGTGTTTTAAGGATGAGTTTATGTTGAACAGCATTTTCCTCTCCTAATTGAGCTTTTAAATCCAAAAGTTTTGAAACCTCCTCAGCTATCTGTAAATATCATCATATTTGTGTTAGACTCGTAATTAATTTAATAGTAAATCATATGAATTACAATGCCCATTTATTTACGAGATACACAATAGAATCTATTCATAAAATGTATCAACAGCTTGCCTACCTGCTGGGCAACGACAGATGTGTAGAAATGTTTTTGTGCGATGAGAGAAATTTTGGTACGCATCAGAGATATCATCATTTAGACCGAGAGAATATGGCGCAACCAGAATGAAAGAGAAAAGTCCGCCTCAGTGGTGATTATTAAACTAGCCGAAACAATAGACATAACATAGGTAAGCAAACTGGCAAGCAGCTGCCACAAATTACTCTTATTCAACTAAATCATGAATGTTACTAAGGAAAAGTCTATACGTATCATCGCACTGTTCAATATGTGAACCACATTAAGAATTTGTAAGTAAATAAAATATTATGATGATTAATATATCAATAATTAGCAATCTATGGTAAAGCTGCTTGCAAGTGGCCAACTGTCTCACCTTTTTGACAAGCAAGTTATTATTACAACAGGAAATATCATCAATATTCTCAAGTTTCTTTGCCAAAGAAGTAAACGAAGCTTCTGAGGCAGGAAAGTTTGAACGTTCAGCTTCGGTAAAACTTTTCATATTAATGTACCATCGATTTAAGTGTGACCACATTGCAATATCATCATTAGAATAACTTTTACATAAATTGAAAAGCTGATTGTCTTTTGAGGAAGGGATCCAGCCGCATACATAGCTGATATCCACAAATTCATTGTTTAAGGTTTCTAAATCAGGCAATATATTTGAAGATCCCTAAAGAATGAAATGTTAAAAGTATTTATCGTCCCATAAATACTTTATCAATTTGAATCTAAGCACACATCTTATAAAGTTTATATATTATAATTTAAAAACCTGACATTTTGTGTGCAGAAAAAAATGTAAAACCCATAAGACAAGTGGTTAAATATCCAACGTGCAGACGAAGACAGAGTGCGTAAAACCGGCGATTAAAAATTCAAATAGAAAGGAAAGTTATACTAATTAAAAACATTGATTATATCCTACAATCGTACTAAAATTTTAAATGTAGACAAGCCTATCTTATAAATAAAAATAGTCTTTCGCAATTCGGTGAAAAGTATGTTAATTTAACATGGTGTCATCGTTGCGTGGCATTTCGTTTTACATTCCAAATAGATATAAGAACTTCAACTTATGAGTATGCACCATATGTACCGCGCAGGTAAAAGTAATTATTAATTAAGTTATTGCATCGTCGATAGTGTAATAACATACCTGAGTTTTATTTAGTTTAGCAGCTTTTAATTTTCGTACAAGATCTCCTTGTTCTTTGACTTGTTGCAACAGATCCTCTTTCGCTTTATCGGCCATCACGAACCATGCGGTCCTCTTTAGTATAATTTTCGAACGGCGACGGTAGGCAGCAGTTTTGGTCAGACAATTTTTTCCACCACACGTTGCAATCGCTTGCGCATGCGTGACGTATATGATTTCTTTATCATTCAACGTGTCTCACTTTTAACATACAAACTTTTATTATTTAATATATATATATAAGCTTTTACTTTTTTCCTCTTCGAAAATAATTTTTAATCAAATATCGTTAATCATAGATTTTTTATTAATAATAAATCTGACATTAATCAAAACTCTTGCAAGGCGCTGCAACAAAAGATATTTTACAAGTATATACACATTACTTATATGTATTGTATGATCTTGATCAATCTACTCTATTGCATTATAAATGCTTTACCATTCACTTACTTTCGTCAATTACTTATTATTTGAAACAATTACTTTCTATTCTTACCGTTATGTTTCGTGGTATACTCCGGACTGAAGAAGGTTCTCTTGCAGATACGCTCGGAGGTAAGTCAAGATAGATATTTAAGCGCGTTTTTTAATATTATCGGTGATGTTGCAATAGCAAATGCTTTTGCGTGTCTTTATCTCTTTTATTTCTTTTATTACACGTGTGTTTTTCAATGAAGATATCAAGCCAAATTATTCTTTACGAGTTTTCAAAAACAGATCAATTTAATTTGTAGAAAATATATATGAGATGAATCATTTGCTATTGACTTCTAACGATTGTCAAAGAACAAAAATTCAATGTGTTATTTTGAATAGTATTCGAAATCATCAAAAGTTGCCACTTACGAAACACGAAAATAGCTATGCTTGTAATAACATTATCTAAGTAAAATAATATGCAATAATAATGCGGTAAAAATTGCGGTTAACAAAGATAACATTTCAATGTATTTTTTTCTTGCCAATAGTCATCAGCAGTATTGATACCATTGTGTCGTTCGAAAAAAGAGGTCGTTGAAGGAAGGGAAAGACATTCCCCGTCGAGCGTTATTTCCCCTTGATAAAACCTTACATGTACAGTCCGATATAAAAGTTAAACAATAAGATTATCCTAAATTAGATGAAAAGTATTAAAGTATCGGATGACTAAACATAAATCACAGCAAAACATAGTTTTAAGCTTCATTAAATCTTCACGTGAAAGTAGAACAATCAACAGTTTTAATCCTTTCTCTTTGCCGCACAATAAGGTAAACGAATTAATATAATATTACAATCTTAAAATAAAAAACTAAATGTTCACTATTATTAATAATAATAATTTAAATAATAAGCTTTACACTATTGTTAAAACGTATACATGGATAACATAGTACATCTTATGAGTTTGTCAACAAAATTTTTCTTACCTTAAATCAATATATTACAAAAAATATTAATTTTGAGTATAATTATTGGACAATAATTATTTAGATTTCATTTTAATCGATTCCAAAATGTTAGATTCCAAGTTGTTAAATGCAACACGAGTGCACTTCGCATTGATTCGCGAAAAGTAACCAATGGATAAAGCAGAATACACTTCGAACGCCATCTTTGTCATATTACATTTTCCTGATTGGTAAACTTCAGGATTTTTATATAGCCTATTGAAGCAAATTTTTAAACAAATTAAATTGTATAATATATAAATAATAACGATATAGATTAATAATTATAATTTGCATATAATTAAACTGATTATTAGTGTCGTGAACGATTAAAGATCGACACGACAAATTAAAAAATTGATATATTTTATATAGTCACGTGTAGTAACTAATTTAAGTTGTGCGTATACGTAATTCCTCACACGTCTAATCAATATAGCGCGTTACATAAGAACTGTTATTCATTTTATTGTTTTAAAATCGATTTATAATATCGTAAAAAAATGAATCTTATTATATTTAAATAATGCAAATCAATACAGTAATTAAAACAGTTTTTTTTTAAATTGATCCTTATGTTTGAAATTAATAATGATCATGTTATATAAATCACAAAATACAATAAAGGAATGAAACTAATTTTCGAATAGATAAATAAAAATAAAATTTAAAGATACCGCACTTACACCTACGTAATGTGTATTTAAACATTATTGCATAGACGTGCATAATTAGTGTTCGTAAGATAGTTAAATTTAATTATAGTATCGATTTTTGTACAAACAATAAATAGTTAGGTACAGGTTTCTAAAGATATCGGAATTAATTGGACAATATTGGCTATGTTATTGGGTACTTGTTAATTGTAATAATATGCTTAATTCTTTAGTGAGGATCGTAGAATAATCGGTAGAAATAATTTATGTATTAGTATCTGAAGAGATTTCGTGTCAAGTAGAAAAAAAATCGACGTAACAGATACGAACCGCTTGACGTAGTTAAGTAAAAATCCGAGAGTAACATATAATTACTCGTGAATACGTTTCTATACGTTCTCACGTTTTCAGTAAGAAAGATATGTTACGTCAGATAGATAGTAATAAAGGTTAGGCGCCGTCACAGAAGAACGTGGCGGCTTTATCACGCCGAGCAATAGAGAATCCATACTGTTCGTTTAAAAAAAGAAAATATTTTGATCTCAAGGCACGTTTAAATTGATTCCTTATCGTTGTTGGTAATATCAAACTAAATAATTGTGTGTAAATATAAAATTTCAATCTCAGACCAGACAGTTTCTGTCGGCCCGAAGGATATATCAAAATGGTGGCTGTACAAGACGAGTGATGTGTATGCAGATATTGGAGCGCATTGTAATTTCAGGAAAAACGCGTCTAAGCACGCTACGTATTAGAAAATGGGCGATTCTAAGGCTCAACATGGAACACAGGAGATGAAAGGATGGCTTTTTAAATGGACCAACTACTTGAAAGGTTATCAGAGAAGATGGTTTGTCCTGTCAAACGGCCTTCTGTCATATTACAGGTAGTCCGTAGTAAAATCACTTTCTCCCTTACTAATCTGTTCTTCCTAGCTCGTATGATTAAATAACGCGAAATTTCTACAACTACTCGTGCTATGTTGTATGATCAAAGTTTTTCTGTAGGATAGAAAGTAACTGACAAAAAGCAGAGCTTTTCCTTCTACAGGGTTAGGTTATGACCCCATTGATCATATCGATGATTTGAAAATAAATCTCCTTTGCATATATAATTCATTATATATTATCATTTGATATTAGTCTACACTGTTGCGATGAGCATAAGGAAAGTTTTGATGACATTTTAAGCGTTACTTCAAATAAAATCCCACCACGTATATTCTATGGATTATTAAAACATTTATGAATTCTACCAATTAGACAAAAAACTCATCAGAAATGTAATCGTAATAAGAAAAACATAGTAATGAAGGATCTGAAAACACAGTTCTATATGTAAAATGTCAATGTGCAATATCTCAATCTTGACACCTTGATCGATTTATGAAAACTTTCCTTTGTAGTAGGTAAATGAATGTAATTATTTGGTCATTATTAATATTATTTTGCAGTAGATCCATTTGAATTTAAAGCATTGATTTTACAAATTTTAGCTTATTTAATTTATTTCATTATAATTTTTGTTTGCATCCAGAGTCATTCTAAGACTTGTAAGATAATTTGTGAAATTTCTTTTTTGTTTTTTTTTCTAAGTTAAACAATAATTATAAAATTTGTTGAGATATTGTTCTTTTATTATGTAGAGTATTATATTACAAATGTTAGATATTTTATGTTGAAAAATATGTATTGGAACAGCTCTGCATTTTATATATTATGATAGATGAACATGCCTGCAATTTTCTTTATTTTCTTTTTGTTAAAATATGAATAGCATAAATGATAAAAGTAATTGTTTTAAAATTGCATAAAAATTATTAAAAAATGCATGACAGTAAGAAACCTATGCAGATATAACTGTACATTTGACATGATGGTTTATCCAAGTAATTTTAAAACTAAATCGCAGTATTTATATCCCAATTTTCTTATTCACAAATAATATCTAAAGCATGCACATATGGGAATACATACTAAAATTCTTCAATATATCTATTATAGATAGAATAATGTACAATTATGATTAAATTCTTAAATTTGTATAAAATCTAAACAAAAATATTAACAAGTCCTGATAAAAGGAGCAGAATGTAAATATAATATGTGATATATAACATACCCAGAAAAAAAAAAATAGTTATATGTGCTGACCAATCTAAACGTCCTCGTGCTTAGATCATGAGAAATGTTTTGCCTGCTTATATTTGGATACGCGCATCAGATGAATTTTATTGTATATTGGCCTTTTCTTTTTTTCTTATTTTGGTTGATTTTACAAGATGGTATATTAAATTATTCAATGCTTTTTTACAGTTCTCACGCGAGATTGTTAATATAGATTTGTTTAATGAAAATATTTAATATAGAAAAGAAATTTGTGCTATCTGATATTTCTGAACTTAAAAATATCGTCTAATACATTCTTGATATGCATATATTTGTAAAATAAGAATGTAATGATAACATACAACGGCTATCGTCTATTGATGTTTCTGATGAAGTTGGCGATCTCGTGTTTTTCAATAAACTTTGCACTGCATTTTTAGGACTTTCAATATTTTCCCGCTTGGCACAGTTATGTGATTTGAGTTTGCAATATCTTTTTAAATAATAATGCAATATTCTGTCTTCATTTCGTTTTAAAACACAAAATTGGAAAGCCTTTTTCACACAGATCATGTTGTTCGCGCAATGATCACTAGTAATTTTATTATCGCGTTTATTTCAAAAGTTAAACTTGTGTCGCTTAGGATCCTTCGTTTCTTAATAAGAAACTTTTTTCAACGATGATATACCAATTGCTGTAGAAAGAAATAATAAAAAGTAAATTTCGCTTCTGACAATTTTACACAATGTGAACGGGGTCTATTTGTTTTATGGATTGTTTAGGGCTGAACCAACAGGGGGGCCAAAGATATCAACGCGACGCAAGCGGAGAGCTGGCAGAGCCTCCGAGTAAGTAAATTATCGAAACGTCGAAATATCCTGACTTTTCATTCAAACGAATTGTAATTAAGGAGACAAAAGAAATATTAGTTTCATTTCATTCTAAAAAGTACCTCGCATTCCATTTTGCTACATGTTAATGCGGTCGCCAGCATTCCTAATAATTTCTCCTGCTTTTTTTTTTCTTGACTTGTAATTGATGTTTTATAACTGATCAAATGTTACACATGTAATATCACACCAGTACACAAATATCATAATACTCATATACCTAGAAACCTTTCTTTACCTATATACGTAATTTACATATATACATGTATACATTTATTTATTTATTCACATAAACTACATATATGTATACGCACATATATTTTGTCTGAAAATTTTTAAGCGTTCGTCACCTGAAGACCTACACATTTATGCGTGTCCTTGGTGGCGTATGCGTGTATGTACGTACGTGCATAATTGTGTGCGTGATTTTAAACAAATGCTTTTCTTGTTGATTATTATAATAAATTAAATTTTTTAATATTATTTGCTGTATATCTTATAATTAAATTTAGTAACAATTGATTGCGTCAAGTTCGAGAGGGGGTGAGGAGAGTTGCTTATAGAATTGTTTTAAATTTAGAAGATTTATTTTGGAGATCAAACGATCTACATTAAGTTATTGGATAGCCCACTGGTCACTACTGCCTTACCTTCTTATTTATTATACTTTTTATTATCGATTATTTTTCATTAAATGAAACTAAAAGTAAAATATATTGTGCTTTTTCAACAAAATAAATATAATAGCTTAGAATTAACAAATACTTTATATCGTACGTGTGAATATTGAACAAAATTTATTATATTGTAAAAGAAATGTCTATTACCAGATCTGCTTCCATTAACTATTGTGGACAATATATTTTTTACGCGTCAGCATGATCTGTTCCTTTTTCATATAAAATCGTATAAGTTTTGCGTGATGAATTAACTCGATTGATTTAAACTGCATGAAACTATGATTTAACGATTATATTTTCTTTTTCCATAATATACCATGACCTTTGTTTCGGCGTTGCTTATATTATTTTTAATGTAAAATATGAAGTTTTTTGCGTAGGTGTAGGCAAAATAGAAATGGTATTATTACGAAGAATTTGGTTGTGGGTTTGCTTTTTTAAAAGTATCAAATAAATGCTAATTCATATATATATACTCGTCTCCTATTTTTAATGTGTCATAGTGTCACAGATTAATGCAGACAAATTGACATTAATTTTAATGGGACGAGGTTGAGTTTTGGCTTGGATAAACCTTGAATATATCGCTGAACGAATTGCAAACTCACGTCTGTCTTTTTCTGTGTCATTCGATTTTCCAACAATAAGAGGATCTCTTCAAGGGACTGTCGCATTTTAATTCTTTGTTTAGAAATCCAACGGAGATGTCTCATACATGCAGAGGCACGATATCCATGCACGGGGCCTTAATACACACTGTAGATGCTTGCACTTTTGTTGTAAGCAATGGTGGTACCCAAACTTTTCATATAAAAGCAGCGACAGAAGTAGAACGTCAACAATGGGTCACAGCTCTCGAGTTGGCGAAGGCCAAGGCTATTCAAGCCGTAGAATCTGGTTTGTATGATTTCATCATAAAATTCATCCTACGTTCTATCTCATTTTGCGATAAATACGTAATTTTAGTAAGACGTTTGTATGTTCAAGTATTCTGTTGCAATTTTAACCATATCTCCTTAACTTTCGAGTTTTTCTATATAATATTTTCCTGCTCGATAGTCGAAATAAATAAATATCTATACATATGTCTAAATGAAAATGTATTTCTAGACGAAGAAGAAGAAGAGTATCAAGATAATGACAATCAAAAAGTAGAGCAGGGTGCTGCTGTCAAAGATTTGAGTCAACGCTTAGATGACTTGCAGGCTTGTTACGATTTGATCACCAAGAGAGGATTTACTCTTCAACGAGCATTGAATGAATTGGAAACCCTAGAACCACCATATCCTGATCTAACAACCAAAATTAAAACTCTGAATGAGAAAGCTGCTCTCTTCCGTATTGCTGCCACTGCTATGATCAGTGTAAGTTCGGGTTTAATCAATCTAGTTAACGAATTCTTCCATTTCTTTCTAAAACTTCATTAAATCATATTAATAAATCATAAAATAATATTAATTCAAGGAACATAAACTACTACATAGGTATTCAACTAACAATAAGTAAAAGAGGCATTTAGTCGCTGGACATTACTTTATAGCTTAAATGGAATCTTTACGCTATTACAAATATGCAAAAATATGATATTTCCATACAGATATCGTTTAATAATTATGTTATACAATAGATAATTTAAGATATAGTCAAAATTATCTTCTATGCGTGATAAATTACTTTAGGTTTCATACCATAGGCTTGTATTTGTAGAAAGTAGGGTGAATTATGATTTCAGAAAAGCAATGACTATTTCCAATTAGCCCAGCAACAGGAACCAAAGTGGAAGAAAATGTTACAACATGAACGCGATCAGAAGGTGCGCATAGAGAAAATGGTTGAACAACTAGCTAGGCAACATTCACACTTGGAAGAAGCTGCGCAACATGCGCTTCCCTCAGTGACACCAGCGGGAGGACACAGACCTTCCCGTAATTTCATTTATTTTCCTTTTTTTAATGTGATTAGTAGTGTTTTTGCTTTTTCTTTTTATAACTACATTAAATTTTATCATTTTCGATTATGCTTACATTGCAATGTATTTAAATCTGACTACAAGCTTACATTTTATTTTTGCATAACTTGATCATTTCTATTAATTCAAAAAGAAATTCTTTCATTGTTTTAACGATATTAACTTTATTGGTCAATATTGACTCGAAGTTTAATCACGTTAATTGTAAATGTCAAACAAAAGAACTTACGGGAGAACAAGTTATAAATATTTTCAATACATCAGATAATTAATCGTCATGTTATTATTTCATAATGTAATAATTATGCAATAATAGTAATGTTATTATTGTAAACTTAAAATAACAAAAATCTAATCTTTCTCTAGGAACATTTTTTAAATATTATTTTAAAGTAAATTATTAGTATATGTTTTTGTTAAGTTAATATTATAAAATCGCGTGCGCTTGTTTTCTAAAATTCCTACCCTTTTCATTAAATGAAAAGTAATTTGAAATAAGATGGAGTGGATGTGTACATATTTAAATTATGTCTAATGTGTATTTGTTTTTTTATGCCTTTTTGATCTATTAGAAGATTAGATATCGTAGAAAGTTTTTTTTCAATATACATGCATCATTTTTTCTTAAAATCATTTCATTGGTAAAGGCCATTTTTTCGTTCACGATTTTTATGTTTCTCTGTTTTTTCAAAAATGCGCGGTTTTTTGTGTTAAGTATAGATGGCAGTTCAGTACTTATGCTTCGTTGCGTTGACGTTTTTCTCACACGGCGCATGATCTTTGCACGCAAAGCTTTTCATATGTTCATATATATATATATATATATATATATATATACACATGATTGATTACAATCTCTGAAATGATCATGTGGTGTACCTGTATAAGTGTGTGAATATATTACAAAGGGTTTAAATATGCTTTCATTTCTCTTCAAATTGGTGTTTAATTAAGCACAGATGGCCTTGTAAATTGATACTTTGATGATTTTCATTAATAGAATTTTCGTTTAATCTATCGTTAAATTGCAAGTAAAAAATATTAAATCAGTAGTCAGTCTAACGGTTTGAGATACACGATTGATGAAATCATAGATGATGTCAAAGCAATAATCGAACGACCCAGAGTGAATGTGTTATATATATATATGTGTGTGTATATATATATATATATATATATATATATATGGAAAACGATTCATAGAAATGCAGCTTCGATGAAAATTTCGAAGATCCAAATCCGTGGTTTTGTGAGCCGATCTTGTAACTTATCATAACCTTCTCGCGATATCTATTATACATATATATATAATATATCGCGTTTTAAGTATATTAGTTTATACTGATTTAATAATATGCAATTATTCCTGTTGATCGAGGCAGTACAAGTGTTCGAAAAACATTATAATATCATGAAAGTATGTATTTAACTAGCAATAAGATTTCTTTTATTCGAAAACAAATTAAATTAATTTCGTTAGAATAGGTTGTGCTATGACAGGATATTAAAATTAGGCTGGTAACTGGTAATAATCTTTTTATTCATATTTTTCGTGTTTAATTCATAATATTAATCAATTTATCTTTCTAAAGTTCTCTTTTTATGTTTCGTGAAAATTATTGATTAATCAGTGATGAATTAACATATTTCATGTTATGTATCGGTGTGTAATAGATGTTAAACATTTACATTTTAAAAGTATCATATAATTTTATTTATTTTATTTAATTATAACGCTATGGTTAATCTCAAATTTTATTTTCCTTTTTCTGATAATTATAATGGATGCTTAAATGGTAAATATCCTTTTTTAAAGATTCTGCGATAACTACTTCTCCATCAGAAGACGAAGAAGATAATGCTGAGTTTTATGATGCTCAAGAGTCAGACACATTTACATTGACTATTCCAGGAGTAGCCTCAGCCAATTCAATATCTCATCAGAGAGATCGAACTGATTCCCAAGGAAGTGATGATGGCTCTAGTTCTGAAGGAGATCCAACACCTTTGCCAGTTTCAGATTCCGCTGGAGCAGAATCATTTCTTATTGTGACCGATTCTACAGCAATACAAGCTTCTTCTCCTGTTACAAATACAGACGAGCTGGACAATGTAATTAATCTATTCCAAATGAATGAATGATTAAATTGTTTAAAATATATAATAATTTGTATTAATATACAGACGGCTTGGCAAACCAACAATGGCGGCAGCGGTGGCACCGGGTTAGCAACCACACCTAGCAGAAAAAGAAGAACTAGAGTACCTGATAAACCTAATTATCCTTTAAATTTATGGAGTATTATGAAAAATTGTATTGGCAAAGATTTGTCAAAAATTCCAATGCCCGTTAATTTCTCAGAACCACTTAGTATGCTTCAGAGGCTTACAGAAGATTATGAATATGCAGAAATTCTTGATAGGTACATTATTATAGATTTATATAATTTTTTTTCCTGAGAACTAATAATTATTGAAAATGTTAAATAATTAATGTAATTATAGAGCAGCGGAATGTACTGACAGCTACGAACAGATGGCCTATGTAGCTGCATTTACTATTTCTAGTTATTCTACAACTGCTGCTAGAACAGGCAAACCTTTTAATCCATTATTAGGTGAAACGTATGAGTGCGATCGCACAGATGATCTCGGTTGGCGAGCGATTTCCGAACAAGTTTCGCATCATCCTCCGATGCTAGCTCAACATTGTGAAGGTAGGAAATGGCGTTGCTGGCAGGAGTTCACTATGGCTTCTAAGTTTCGCGGAAAGTATCTTCAGGTAAAAAAGTTTATTGAACCTAATTACATATCTGCCTTGTTTTTTCTCAACCCGAAGAACTTCTTTTTCTACATATATATATTCTACAGGTAATTCCTTTAGGTACTGCTCACTTAGAATTTAATACAGAACAACAACATTATACATGGCGTAAAGTAACAACCACTGTACACAATATAATAGTTGGAAAGTTATGGGTTGATCAAAGCGGTGATATGGATATTGTGAATCACAAAGAGGGTGTCAAGTGCCATCTAAAATATATACCATACTCGTATTTTTCAAGAGATAATCAACGTAAAGTGAAAGGTGTTGTCATGAATTCGAGTAAAGAGGTAAAATGGGTGGTTCAGGGTACATGGGATTCGAAGATAGAAATTGCTCCTGTTATTAGTACATCGGGAGCTCCAGACAATCCTGTATATAAAACAGGACCATATATATTAGCTTGGAAACGACGTATGCCTCCGTAAGTATTGACAAATATAATCATTTGTCTGTTTGTTGCATAAGAAATGATATTTTTTTAATTTAATATCTATTTGCGTAATTTTGTTATAATAGCGATGATTGCGAAAGGTATTATTCATTTACGGAATTGGCCTGTCAGCTCAACGAACCAGAAGATGGTATTGCACCTACAGATTCACGACTGAGACCTGACCAGAGATTAATGGAGGACGGACAATGGGATGAAGCTAACGCTGAAAAACTTCGACTGGAAGAGAAACAGAGGGCTGCACGGCGTAATCGAGAACATGAAGCGGAAGAAGCTGCTTCGCAAGGTATAACAGAGATTCTACAACAATTGTTTTGAACAATCTAATGAATTAATATTATTTCATTGAGGGTATTTATTTCTTAGGTTTACCATATGAAACTTGGGAACCATTATGGTTTAAGAAACAGCAGGATCCTTACACAGATAGTCTTTGCTATATGTATAGCGGCGAATACTGGGAGTGTAAGAACAAAGGTGATTGGTCAAGATGTCCAAACATATTTTAGTTTATAATATACCAGTTTACAATTTGACCGCCCATTTACAGTAAAGAAAAGTTTGGATCTTTTAACGCGAAGTTAAATAGCGATAGATATCACGGACGCGAAGAATAATATTCATAAATATGCTGAATGTGTGATATTAGGGTTGTTATTGGGTGTGGTATAGTTTTTACTTCTTCCAATGAAGTGAACAAAAGTTGATGCTTGCAAATATGACACGTACTATATCGTATCTTTTGTACTTTTGTGTCATGACCGTGCTGACTGCTACCTGCCTTTCCTATTTTCTTCCTCAGCTGTGTCCTTCCTATTGTTTCGCTAATTTGATCAGTCATTGTAAAATTCTACAAAGCAATTGTCGTCCATATTTTGTGATTTTGTAAAAACCGAGTTCTTCGAATCTCATTGCTTAAATTTTTTCTATGAACAAGCATTTTTGAATTCTTGAAAATGTCACCAGTAAGAAACATCGTAATGATTTGTAAAATACGTATACGTAATATACCAGTTTATTGTACAGTTAGAATAGCAATTTTTCAATAGTACAATTACTAACGAGTATTCGTATCGTTCTCATAGAAAATTAACTATTTGGATTTATGTAATTCAGTATTACTATGCGTCACTGAAAGATTGAAATATCATGTCGTTTTCCTGTTTTTCTTAACTTTATTATATTCTAGCTTTCACGAAATTCTATCATATCATAGAAATGTCATTTTTTCATATATTTTAATACATGTACATCGCGGAAAGTACTTATGCAAACTGTGAAACGTATGTGTTACTGTGCTTCGCGCGATGTGATATTTGCAAATGAATAAAAGAAAGGATATTCAAATTGTGAAAACGTTGCTTGCATATATTTTAAATGAGATGGTGTCCTTCTTTGGCTCTATTAAAACACCTACTTAAAAAGAAGCAACAAAAAGAAAAAAAAAATACAAAAGAAATAAATCAACAGAAAAAAGAATCAAAACGAGATGCTGCTTTTACATCTTTGCGTTCGTTCGACTGCCACGTTTTAAATCACGTTTACGCGAATGCTCGAACAAGGGGTTGGCATCAACCAACCGCTTGACTGGACAATGCGTGTGATTTGAAGAAACGTTCCTGAATGTGCCATTAGAATCTGTGTGTAGTCACGAGGGAGTGCTAGAATAGGCTTCACTTGGGAAATACGTTGGGTAACTGGTGATAAATTTGAACATATAAAATACAGATTCGATGGGCAAGCAAGCGAAACTTTGACGCTTCCAAATTCACGGTGCCCGCACGCCTAATGAACATTCTATAATATTGAAAAGGCGTGCCGTTGACTGAACCGATACAAGCCCATTATGTCGAGGCAACGATTACAGCGTTAATAAACTGGAATCGAATTTAGGAAAGGAAGCATATTCAAAAGAAAAAGAAAGGAAGCGGTCTTAAGAGATTATAAGTTCCAAATAATTTGCAGAAAATAAGATATTAAACTATAAACACAACAACATTCGTCATTACTACAGATTCTTTTTCCAAACTATAACATAATAATATAATATATATATATATATATATATATATAAATACATAAATAAATATGTAAAATACTAAGTAAATATATATGTATGTATTTCATACATATATATTTAAATATTATATATAAAAAAAATTACCGCACGCACACATCCATACACAGGCATACGCGAGCGATTTATTCGCGTACATTGTGCATATGTATGTATGTATGTATGTCCGTATGTACATATAATAGTTAATAAAACTTATTATATATTCCTCTATAAGAAGCATACCGGTTATTACGTTTTTAGTGTATGATAATTGCCAAGTCGATTATTAACACTAGATAGACGATGTAGCCCGCTTGCAGCCAATATTTAAGATCATTGTTAATTTAAGTCTGGCTGTATCATACTTTTAATAGTTTAAATAATATCCAGAGAAAAATGATATGTCTGTATACACACAGATAAATATATAAATTAGTTATTAAATAATTAATGCAAAATGAGAAATAAATTACAAAAGCTATGACGATAAAAATCGAATAGGAAAAATGTTTGGATTATAGTGCTTGTACATTAGCCAATCGTGTGAAACGACAAATACAAAATGCTTCGCTATAAAACGATTATTTAACAATATTGCATTATACCTCGCATTTCCTATTCATTTTCCTTTATTATTACATGTATATCTACATTCGTTAGTTTAATATCGCTCGTTAATTAAAAATACTCCAAGATCATTCCCTATTATGTATTTTTTTCTAAATTCGATGTGTGTGTGAACCGTGTGGATTAATGATTATATTATATATTTATAATATATACATATTAATGTACGTACAGGGTGTCCCAAAATAAGAGAAATATTTTAGACAGCTTTATTATATCGAAACAATAAAAATATCTCGTGTAACCGTATGTCCGATTCGATTTTAAAAGATATTAAAAATATGATTCCGCATATATATATATATATATATATATATATACAAGCAGCATCTTACCAATAATAACCATCTTACTTCCTTGTTCCGTGTTCAGATGTTGCTCAGATTTGCTGGAAATTTAGTTGAATTTTTTTTTTTCCGTTGAATTTCATTTTTCGACAAATTTTGTTGTAACTCGAAAATAAAATTAAATAAGATACATGTTTATATAAATTACATTTATTGTTTAGATGTGCTGAAATCATCCCTTAAATATTTCCCAGTTATTCTGGAACATCCTGTATATGCGTACATAGCGGACACACAGACACACATACACATTTAACTTTGACGTACGTCAATGAATTTAAGTAAGAATATTACTGACAGGAATGCCATCTACTTTCAATTTATTTCGTGTTTCGAATTCCGCGAAATTTGACAATTCGACAATTTTAACATGCAAGAAAAACTTTCTCAATGCATAGAGAAATGATTCTATATTGCGTGGCAAATCTAAAGCATCCTTTAGTATATTAAATGCATATGATATTGAAATGAAATACAAAATGCAAATACACGAGTGCCATCTTTCGAGCAATGACGCATAACTACTTCCCATAAAAGAAATTTATAATGATCATAAAGAAGAATCTGGAAAGAAAAGAAGAAGAAAGGAATGTCTCTATTGAAAATTCAGGATTTAATCGACAGAAGCATGTTTGTAAGAAAGGAATAGAAAGGATGTAGAGAAAATTGGACTTTTTTGCTTTTTGGAGGGTAATTTGTTGAGGATCGTTGAGGAGGGCGCTGGTAGTAGTGACGTCACGCGTAATGATACACGGACTTGGACATGCGCCATGCGACAGGGTTTGCGTAAAGCGTCTTGCGGAGTCTGCGCGAGTCGGGAACTGCTTTCGATTGTTGGCGGGCGCCGCCATCTTGGTCAGTGAGCTTGCGAGTGGCTGTGCGAGGAGTTGTACGTATTTCGGTGAAACAAGCAATTCGTAAGATTTCCCTGAAAGCCCTTGTCTACTCGTCAAATCCACGCGCATCCAAGATGTCGGAACGGGAGGACAATGTTTACAAGGCGAAACTGGCCGAACAAGCTGAACGCTATGACGGTGAGTGGATATTTTTTTGAGTAAGAGAGCCGGCCTGGGCCAAAATGGAAATCGACAAAATTGCTAGAAGAGTGGGGCTGCTTGACTTTCCTACACCAAACCCGCCCATTAAATTTTTTAACTTTTATTCTCATTTTCTCTTACTCTGAATTTCCTATTTTTTACAAGTTTCGTTAACGAAGCTGGAATGGGATTTTTGAAGACACGTATAATGGCATCGAACCTAGCAAGATCTGTCAAAAGTGTTGGAAGAAACGTCAAGTGCGAGACTAGCTTTGCTCGCTTTGTGCCAAAGAACCGGCGAGCTTACACATTTTTTTTCTTTTGGATAACTCTTGTGTCATTTCTCATTCTTAACGATCGAACGAGCGAACAAGTTCGTACAGGAATATCGACGATCTTCCTTTTTCTCTCTCTCTCTCTCTTTTTCTCTACTCCTTTCTTTCTTTCTTCTCTTTCTCTCTCTCTCTCTCTCTCTCGTTCACTCGCTGTTCGTCTCTCCCTCTCTATCTCTCTCTCGCTTATTCGGTCGGTCGTTCGGCCGTTCGCTTGTTCGCAACGACGTCGTCAGCGCTGGAGCAACGGCGGCGGCGAGGTAGCGTTGCTAGGCGTACTGTGTTCGCTACTTGGAGGGATCCTTTCGTTCAAATAACCAGACAAATCGGAGAAGTTAAGAAATGATGCCGGCTTTACTACGACGGGGACATACATAGTAACGCGTGTGCCGCTCGTGGCATTTGGCCTTGAAGAGCACAGAGAAATCGCACAACCAATCGACGGAACCGGCTCGACCTTCGGCCTTCTCTTCTGTGCTCTCTCTTTTCTCTCTCTCTTTTCTACCTACCTACCTACCTATCCAGAAATTCCTCTCTGCTTTCCTTTTTGACGACCCTTTTGCCTTTTTCCTCGCACAACTGCACTTCTCCTCTTTGCTTTCGGTCTCCTCAAATCTTTTATATAGACGTTAGGTATCTTTTTCAAATAAAGGAGGAGAAATAGCTTCCTTTCTCATGACTGACTACTGCTCGATACTTTTATTTCCATTCACGACGTACGTGCGTCTGTTGTGTGTTCATTGTGAATGTACACATATATACATAATATATATGTACACATAGTCCAGTTCATGGATGAACTATGTATATATAAATCCATTATATACCTAATATACGTGTCATTCACACGAACGTTGGCTTGAAGCTTAGTAGAAAGTTTAAAAGAAAGTTCTGCTAAGTACGTTAGATGCCGTACTTTCTTCGTTTATATGTGTAAAGAAGGCTTCTCTTGGTAGAAGAACGTTGTAGGAATGACAAGCGCCGAGTCAAACGCCTCCTGCTTAGTCAACATCGATCGTGCGTAGAATGGGATGGATTGGGGTGGTGGGAGGGGGGCTAATAATCCTAAGAGGCTAATATTTCTCGCGCGAGATATCTATATATCGACAAGTAAAATAGACCAAAAATGCAGGAATGCGTGCATTGAAGATGAAAGGAAATGGAATCGAAAAGAAAAATATAGACTCCAATTACATTGAAGGGTTGCGGGAGCGAGTATGTGTGAGCGGTGGGATGGGGGGTAGTCAGGAGCGTGAGCGACCACGGCCGAAGGAAAGTATTGATCTGCTGCTGCGCCCGCTACCTTACGTTTCCGTATATCTCGGCCGGTATACTTCGTTCCTCGTAATTCCGTCGCTAACGAGAGTCCGATATACCTTTTATATTGGAATTCACTTCTCGAAAAGATTCAATGATATAGCATGAAAAAGATAACTCCACGCATGAAATTGTTTTCGAAGGTTACCCTAACGAAATTTGTCTTAATCATTTTGGTAAGATCGGACGTCTTCGAGTATGTATATGTAAGCGTTCACATTTTTATTTAAATAAAAAATTCGCTTTCATTAAAAAAGGAATAGACAAAGATTCCAAATATCATTTACGACTCACAGTGGAAATTCGTGTCGGCTCTCTGTAAAGTTGGCATAATTAGAATTTACTTGTATAGTTTCAATTTTGATATTGTAATATAGGTATTATTTGGAAGGGTTATTCATTTATGTTAGGTGTTTTATGCGAATTCGTTGAGGGTGCGTCCTGTGGTAGGAAGGCGCCACCATAGGTACTGTTGCTTTTTCTACCGAGCTACTATCGATCCTTCGAGAGAGAGCTGCGCCGAATTTCGACTGTGGTGGTCGCATATATGTACTCTAGTATTATATGTGCGCGCTAGTTTGGTAGGGAAAAAGATTCAAACATTCACGGTGCAAACGATATCATTTTCTCTCTCTTTGGCAGACGACTGTAGTCGTTATGCGCATGCGCGAACAATTATCTCGATAAAAGAAAGCGGAGATGGTTGACTCTTGTGCTAAAATATACCCTATTTAAAGGCTAAAGCACCTACAAATTTATTCATTTATACATATATATATATATATTCTTCAAAATTTAACATCATTTTTTTATTCTATTATGAATATTTACTATAATACAGAGTATCGTTTTATTTCTATATTACATTCTACTTTTTTTTATATAATTCAGTCTCAAATTTAGCCGCCTGCGCATAATATCTTGCGTACAACGAACAAAGCAACTTTTTGTCTCGTTTTATCGGCGACGAGCCTTCCACTTAGGGCAATACAGTACTTGTCACATATATAAGTAAAAGAATTTTATTATACACTAAAAACTAGTAATTTAAGGAAATAACGGGGTTGTCTGTACGTATAAGAATTTACAAGAGGCGAGTAATTAAAGTATAAGTACGTTCAGAGTCGATATAACAGCAAGACTAAAGAAAATCTCTTTTTAAAAGGGTGGAAAGAAATAAGAACGAATCTGTTCGCGTTTATTTTACTCTCTTATTTCGCTTTCAAGCAAAAAATGTTCTAAACGATTACACACTTATAAAAAAACTCATATTCGTTATCCATCGAAACCAACGGCTTCCAACAAGTAACTCACTTTGTCTAGTACTACTAGATTCTGTTGTATTATCAATCAAAGGGACGTTGAAAGAAAGTAGCACAGGTGTGTTAGAGATAAGGATTATCTACAAAAATGCGTTTGCGTTCAATTGATAAACGTATTCGTTCATATCAATATTTTCTTTATAATTTGCATTTTTTACTTTATCTTTTATTAATAAATGAACAAAGTTATTGACACGTCAAAATCATAAAAATGAAGAATAAAATCAGAAGCGATCATATTAATTATTAATGAAAATATAAAATTATTAACGAAACAAGAAATCAAATGGGCACCGAACTCTTCGTTTAACCGATCGTTTAATCTTATTCGTGTTTAAAAAAAATATAATTTATAATAATTCGAAGTTGAAGCTTCGAGCAACATAGTCATTTTCGTTCGGTGCTTGTTGACAATTAATCAGCCGTTTAACGCAGGTTTTCATTAGTCTCTCATCGCCAACGACGAAAACAATTTCAAGCTATAACACACACATAATTAATAAATAATTAGTTTAAATGTTAAATAAAATTTGGAAAATAAATCGGCTTTTTTTTATAAAAAATCCATTCTTGATTCGATAAGAAATGAATAGAAAATGGTGAAAGAAAAAGAACTCAATTTGCCGAGCGAACGTTGATTAATTATAACAAATAAATAGTTGTAAAAAATTAATCGAAATATTAAGAGAAATAATAGCATTTAAGAGGATCGTGTCAAATCCGATGTATTTACGATGACGCCCGACCTGCAACTGTCTCGAATAGTTTACATATCGGAGAAAAAAGTAAACATAATACGTAAGGATAGAAGTAGAGATGGAAATAGGAATAAACATAGTTCGATCTTGAAAAAAAATCGATAACGACTGTTTACCAAATTTCTTTTCGTTCGGAGTCTTGCAAAAAGTAGACTAACGGTAAGACGTGCTCCAACGGATTTATTCTTTTGTTAAGTAAATCTAGGTTTCTAATTTGGATTTTTTTGTAATTTTTCATTGTTTTTATTTTATTTTCTATCTTCGCAGCGATTCGATTATTGTCAATTTTTCCAACATATTTATTTCTATCTAAGATCGAATTATTTCTTTTACAGCTTCGTCATAAAAGATGGTCGAGAAAGCATTCACCGTGGGCCATTTTTTCTTTTTTTGCGAAACATTTTGGGAGCTAAAAAAGGGTAGATAATGAAAAAATGTAATTAATGTCACACGTCAAAAATAAGCGCGTACGTAAGTTTAAGAACGTTGTATCATCAAAGCAGCCGCATTCTATGTAAAACATTTTTCTTTTCATTTGAACGATGAATTTAGTTTGGCGTTTCGTTTGCTTCTTTTTTCGTCTACATAAGGATTTGATCGTCAATCATCGTAATCCTTTTGTTTTATTTATTTAGACATGTGTATAATAGCATATCGTAGATAGTAAAGTAAAATTTGTATTAAAAAGTCGTTATGGGTAGGAATAAATAAAAGTATCGAAGTATATCGCTCGCGCATGACCAGCAGTGATATATCTAAATAGCGAGAGTACCTTTGCGAAGTTCAAGGGTCACCGGGTTAATATATGTCAGCGTACCTTTCTTACTTGATAACGCTCTAAAAGTAAAATAAAGTATACGAGTAAAAGGATCACTCGTGATATTGCTTTCGATTAATGTTGTTGTAGAAGGGATGAAGAAGGGTTTATTTGAAACGTAGAACTTTTGTACCGGGGCTTTTTTGCAGAAATGGTCGAAGCAATGAAGAAAGTTGCCTCACTGGACGTAGAGCTAACCGTCGAAGAAAGAAACCTACTTTCCGTCGCGTATAAAAATGTAATCGGCGCGAGGAGGGCATCCTGGAGAATAATTTCTAGCATCGAACAGAAGGAGGAAAACAAGGGTGCCGAGGGTAAGCTCGAGATGATCCGCCAATACCGATCTCAAGTCGAGAAAGAGCTCAGGGATATATGCGCGGACATTCTCGGCGTTTTGGACAATCATTTGATACCTTGCGCCTCCACCGGAGAATCTAAAGTATTTTACTACAAAATGTAAGAAATCTTTTCATTTCCTTTCTTCGATCTCTACAGGATGAGTCACGTGATTTTTCTTTAAACTTCTTTTTTTCGTCTTGAAATTTTAATCAAGGCGATGAGAATAATCGATTAGCTTCGACGAATGTTGCTGCCATTGTAAATCTTCGACATTCTTTCCAACTCGTAATTAGTTCCGTGACTTATCGCAAGCATATACACTTCTCTTCTTTCGGTAAGAAAATCATGAAATCGTTAACGTAACAATATATTGATTTACTGGCGAGTTACGATCACGTGACGCATACTGTACGCGTTCCTTGTTATCTCGTATCTCTTGTAAGGATATATCCTAATCGAAGGATTTGTTAATTGTATACAGGAAAGGAGATTACCATCGTTACTTAGCCGAATTCGCGATTGGCAACGACAGAAAGGAGGCTGCGGAAAATTCCCTGGTAGCCTACAAAGCGGCAAGCGACATCGCAATGACCGAGCTACCACCGACTCATCCTATTCGTTTAGGATTAGCACTTAATTTCTCCGTCTTCTATTACGAGATTTTGAACAGTCCTGACAGAGCGTGTCGCTTAGCAAAGGCCGCCTTTGACGACGCAATTGCGGAATTGGATACTCTTTCCGAAGAGAGTTACAAGGATTCTACCTTAATTATGCAGCTCCTTAGGGACAACCTCACGCTATGGACGTCGGATATGCAAGGGGATGGTTAGTATGTTTGTCGATTAAATTCCTTGGATGCTTTCAAGGGGGTCATCATTAGCAGTAATATTAACAGCCGCGTGACTAGTTGTATCAAACCTTTCCCTATTTTTCGGAGGAAACACCCCGCATATAATACCTATGTACCACCACACTAATCTTCTTGTGGCGTTCGCAGGAGAAGGAGAGCAAAAGGAGCAGCTGCAGGATGTGGAAGATCAGGACGTATCGTAACTCTAGCTGTAGTGAGTGTAATTTGCGCATTTAAAACTGAGACACATGAAAAAAAAAAAAGCAAAAACTCTTAATAACTCGTAAGCAAAAGAAAACAATTCAAGCAGGTGACAGTTTGAAGTGGGAAGGGGAGATCTTTAGCGATCGCGTGATCTTAAGCACGCGCAACGTATGGTTACTCAAAAAGAAAATGAAAATGAAACAAAATCGTATCATTCGATCCGGAGACACACATACACACACACACGCGGGCGCGCGCACGTACGCACGCAACGGACACACGTACATATATATACGTACATATACATATACATATATAAACGCACACAGAGACGCGCATAAAACATACATTGAGTTACGGTGCACAGCAGAATTGTTGAAAGAAATAAGTTAATAATAAAAGAAAAAGGAAAAAAATACAGGCACCTTTGGGTGGTTACCACCAACGCGACTGGAAAGCATGTCTCTAAAAGAAAGAGAGGGAAAGAGGAAGGGAAAGCATGGGTGGGTGCGATTGTAAGTTCGTGTGGGTATGCGTGTATCTACGTACTTACGTACGTATCTATATGCGTGCATGCATGTGAGTAAAAAGAAGGATAAAAGCATACGGTACTCGATCAAAATTAACGTGATTTACGAATGTCGTTGTTGAAAATAAGCGAGGTCTCGGCAACAGATTCAGCGGGATATAATTAATACTTAATTAAAGGTGACAATGTGTTGAAATGAAAAAAGTGCGTGCGCGTGTTGTTGGTCTGTACGGCGGTCGTATGTACGGCTCATTTTAACGGTATTATTCACATGGACGAGCAAGCGCATCAGAAAAAGAAGAAGAAGTTAACAAGAAGATGAAGAGGAAAATGATGAAGAAGAAAAGAAGAAAAGTTCGTGTTTTTCCCATTCCCATTGTGTATACCCTATTCATTTTACAATAGGAAACAAGACACACGGCAATCGAGCTTACGGTGTGTTCGATTATTCGTTCGATTGTTCGTTCGATTGTCGTTCGTTCGTTCCTTCGTTCGTTCGTTCCTTCGTTCGTTCCTTCGTTCGTTCCTTC